TCCCTACAAAGTAAACATGGAACCCCATTGCTCATGGTATGGAATTCTGCCTTCCATTCAAGTTGTCCAAAAACTTAGTAGACGGATATAAAAATGTACCAAAAGAACTAAACCAAAAGAAGCAACACCATATATCTCTATAGGAACAGAACTTGAGTTGATCCAAAGTGATTCCATTGGGAACTTAACTAGGCAACAGCTAACAATTGCTTTGAGGTCATAAGATTCTTTTTGTTACACAGGAATTATAATAGTGGAGTTACTTGCATCTTTACAGAATTGTATTCCAGTGAAGAGCAAAGTGTGATCCCAGGATACTAAAAATTAGAATGTGACAATGTTAGTATTGACCTTCCTATATTAAGTTCAATTTCTAAAAAAAGAAAACAATTCAAATTTTGTTAATTGCATCATAATGTTTCTGTTTTAGGAACTTCTTGGGGATTTGACAGAGATAATTTTAGTACTAGAAGCTAAAACAGACTCCAAGTACAAACAGAATTAATTTTTGGTACTGTTCTATTATCCGGGCAGAGACCAAAAGGGGTCCTAGACAGAGAATAATCGTCTATTTTAAGAAGAGCGGGGAGGTTTAAAGAGTTAAACAATTTCCCAATTTTTCTGTTATTCCCCCAACTCATGTAGCCATCACTGAAACAACCGTTGTTTATGACATGGGAAGTGTATGTGTTGGGGGGAGAGACAACCAGTGGAAACAGGGAAATGGTTTTCCTTCTTCAACGCTCCTCCCTAAAATGGACTATCCTTCTCTGTCTAGGCCTTCTTTTGGAGTCCACCTGGATAATGGAACAATGTTGAATTTTCTTTTTGTTTATGAAAAAGATAGAGGGGGGAGGGGGGCTTGTATATCACCAGATGTTTATTAGAGGAAAATTAATATGGTGTCTTTTATGCATAAATTATAATTCTCCAGATTATCCTGCAATATTAAGAAATATATTACCAAGAAGCATTTTGTAGTATGTATGTGTGTGATTTACATCACTTTTCATTTCTTTAATGTGAAAGAGGTTTGGTTCACTACCCAATTTTTTAACACTTGATTTTAGTAAGATTTTTGTAAGCATGATTCTCAGCATAGATGCCTCAGTATAGAAAATGAAGAACTGAAGCCGGTACCTTTCTTTTGGCACACTCATTAAAGGAGTAGCTGGGAGCACTGTATAAGACAGCGGTTCTCAACCTTTCTAACACTGTGACCCCTAAATATGGTTCCTCATATTCTGGTGACCCCAAACCATAAAATTATTTTCGTTGCTCCTTTATAACTCTAATTTTGCTACTGTTACGAATCTTAATGTAAATATCTGATATGGAGGATGTGTTTTCATTGTTACAAATTCAACATAATTAAAGCATCATGCTTAATCAGAAAAAGTATGTTTAGAGGAGTATGGAAAACAGATGATGGGATTTGCAGTAACTTCAACCGATTCAGCTCTGTCTTCCACAGACCACTGAGACCTCCACACAGAACTCTCATGTAAAAAAATACTGGAAGGGCCTGGGAGGAATTGACAGTGATTTAAGGGATATGTAGTTCACCTACATCTGGAGAGCATTGTGAACCCAAACAACTATGGATCTGGACCAAACGTGGCACGGATACTCAATATGCCCAAATTTGAACACTGGTGGAGTTTGGGGAAAATAGACCCTGACATTTGGGAGTTGTAGCTGCTTGGATGTATAGTTCCCATGCCATTAAAGAGCATTCTGAACTCCAACAACCATGGAATTGAACCAAACTTGGCATACAGAATCCCATGACCAAAAGAAAATACTGCAGAGGTTTGGGGAAAATATACATACCTTGACATTAGGGAGTTGCTGTTGCTTGGTGCATTCTGGAGGAGTCTGAGCCCACATCCAACAGGGAGGCTAGTGCCTCCGGCAAGCCCGACAGGTGGTGAAAGCCTGGTGCTGGAGGATCCACCATGCTGCCTAGCCTCAAACGAAGGAGCCCTTGGCTGCCTCGTGGCCTTGCCAGCTGGCAAGACCACGAGGGAGCCTTCACGCTGGTCATGAGGGTTCTGTGTGGGAAGTTTGGCCCAATTCTATTGTTGGTGGGGTTCAGAATGCTCTTTGATTGTAGGTAAACTATAAATCCCAGCAACTACGATTCCCAAAATGTCAAGGTCTATTTTCCCCAAACTCCACCAGTGTTCACATTTGGGCATATTGAGTATTCATGCCAAGTTTGGTCCAGATTCATCGTTGTTTGGTCCACAGTGCTCTCTGAATGTAGGTGAACTACAACTCCAAAACACATGTTGGTCATGGGAGTTCTGTGCGCCAGGTTTGGTTCAATCCCATCGGTGGAATTCAGAATGCTCTTTGATTGTAGGTTAACTATACATCCCAGCAACAACAACTCCCAAATGACACAATCAATCCTTCCACCAACTGCACCAGTATTCAAATTTGGGTGAATCAGGTATATGTGCTAAATTTGGTCCAGTGAATAAAAATACATCCTGCACATCAGATATTCACATTATGATTCATAACAGTAGCAAAAGTACAGTTATGAAGTAGCAATGAAAATAATTTTGTGGTTGGGGGTCACCACAACATGAAGAACTGTATTAAGGGGTCACAGCATTAGGAAGGTTGAGAACCACTGTGATAGATGAATGTGTGGGTAGATGGATGGATGGACAAACAAACAGATAATAGAAATACGTGGTTAGTAGAAGTGCAGCAAGAAAAATATAATAGGACTTCAAATATGTTCATTCGTTCAGTCGTTTCCGACTCTTTGTGACTTTATGGACCATTCCACGCCAGAGCTCCCTGTTGGTCGTCACCACCCCCAGCTCCTTCAAGGTCAATCCAGTCATTTCAATGATACCATCCATCCATCTTGTCCTTGGTCGGCCCTTCTTCCTTTTTCCTTCCATTTTCCCCAGCATCATACTCTTCTCTAAGCATTTCTTTCTTCTCATGATGTGGCCAAAGTACCTCATCTTTGCCTCTACTATTCTTCCCTCCAATGAGCAGTCAGGCTTTATTTCTTGAAGTATGGACTGGTTGGATCTCCTCGCTGTCCAAGGCACTCTCAGAACTTTCCTCCAGCACCACAGTTCAAAAGCATATATCTTCCTTTGCTCAGCCTTCCCTATGGTCCAGCTCTCACATCCGTAGGTGACTATGCGGAATACCATTGCTTTAACTATGCGGATATTTGTTGCCAGTGTGATGTCCCTACTCTTCACTATTTTATCAAGATTGGTCATTGCTCTCCTCCCAAGAAGTACGCGTCTCCTGATTTCCTGGCTGCAGTCTGCGTCTGCAGTAATCTTTGCTCCTAGAAATACAAAGTCTGTCACTGCCTCCACATTTTCACCCTCTATTTCCCAGTTGTCAATCATTCTTGTTGCCATAATCTTGGGGGGTTTTTTTATGTTTAACTGCAACCCAGCTTTTGCGCTTTTGGCCATCAAAGTAGTGTCATCTGCATATCTAAGGTTGTTAATGTTTTTTCCAACAATTTTCACCCCAGCCTTGCACTCCTCAAGCCCCGCACATCGCATGATGTGCTCTGCATACAAGTTGAATAGGTTGGGTGAGAGTATACAACCCTTCTGTACACCTTTCCCAATCTTGAACCAGCCTGTTGTTCCATGGTCAGTTCCTACTGTTGCTACTTGGTCCTTATACAGATTCTCAGGAGAGAGATAAGGTGATTTGGTATGCCCATACCACCAAGAACTTGCCACAATTTATTATGGTCCACACAATCAAAGGCTTTAGAATAGTCAATAAAACAGAAATAGATGTTTTTCTGAAACTCCCTGCCTTTCTCCATTATCCAGCGGATATTGGCAATTTGGTCTCTCATTCCTCTGCCTTTTCTAAACCCAGCTTGTACATCTTGTACAGCTTGTACATTCAAATATGTTTCAGTTATAATTTGTGATGAAAGGAGAGAAAGACATATAATCTATCCCAACGGTGTGTAGTGTTGAGTTTAGTGTGTAGTGTTCTTTGTGAAGAGTTTATGTATATAGCCTTCCCTTAGGGCTGTTTTATATACAATAAACTTTTTGTATGTTAGTAAGAATACTATTTTTAAAAAGTGAGACAAGTGTCATGGGTGAAAATCAAAGAATAATAAATTTAAAGAACTGTAGAATTGAGAAATATCAAAAGGGTCACCTAGTCAAGGGTCACCTAGTCTAGGGGTCCAAACTTAAAGAATCATTAGTTGAAGGTTTTCCAATTGTGTTTTGGATATTCCTTCCATTTCAGCCCATTTCAATATTAAATGGTTCTAACTACAGGAAAAGTGATTCTAACTAAACATTAGGAAGACCTAAGGTAAAAGTTAAAGATTTTCCTCTCCATTTCTAAGCCGAAGAGCCGGCGTTGTCTGTCGACACCTCCAAGGTCATGTGGCCAGCATGACTACATGGATCACTGTTACCTTCCCGCCAGAACGGCACCTATTGATCTACTCACATATATTATCAGTTTCACAGTCTAGCACAGGCATGGGCAAATTTCAGCTCTCCGGGTGTCTTGGATTTCAACTGCCACAATTCCTAACAGCCATACAGCTGTTCAGAATTGTGAGAGTTGAAGTCCAAAACACTTGGAAGGCCAAAGTTTGCCCATGTCTGGTCTAGCAGGTGTTACCAGTTGCAGTTTCAGACCATCAATGATTCCAATTCTATCCAAGAATCCGGTTATAATGCAGCACTGTCCAAACAGTGCCGCTTTTTGTAATTGTGCTGCTGCTATTGTATTTATATCTCTCTGTTTCCAAAGTCTGGAACTCAAGATGATGTAAGTTAAAACATATATACCTAATATAAGGTACAAAAAATAAAAACAGACTCTTTCCCATCTTTTTGAATATTGCACCACAAAACACATGCTCCTCTTGAAGTTTCAACCTCCTCTTAGAACATGCTAACATCACAATAACGACAAGTGTGTTTGATTTTGGCAGGTTGAGAAAGATTATGGAACATATGGACAGCATCATAGCGGCAGAGGCTCCTGACATTGAGGAAAGAAAACCAGGCAAACCTGTAGATGTCCCACGTACCTTACAAACAAGGATACTGTTCACATCTTCTCCAATCTGCATCTTCGGGCTGTTAGCGAATTTACTCATTATATGGCTTTTCTGCTGTCAAATCAAAAAGACTCAATTAACGATATATTTTTTTAATATGGCCATTGCGAATCTTATCATAATCTTCTTAAATGTTACTATTATTGTTACATATTTTACATCCCTAACTCCCAGCTTAAAGGTTAGACGGTTATTGCAAATTTTGCATGTATGTGCATTTGATACCAGCTTTTTTTTTATTGCCGTTATTGCTGTGGAAAGGTACATTTTTCTTAAGTTCCCATTTTGGTATAATCGCCACCGACCCCACAATTTTTCTGTCATTTTAAGTATTATTTTATGGGGTATCTCCTGCATAGTATCATTTGTGACTTATTATGGCTGTTTTCCAAGATTCGACGTCAGCGTCAACACACTTCTTAACAACTGCAGAGTTGCCAATACAATTGAAATAATCATTGAGTTGCTCATTTTCCTTCCCGGCATGATCATATGCACTTTTGGCCTTTGGATCAGAATGCAAACTCCTGTAGCAAGACTTGATGTTACCATTGTGGGTTTGGTTCTTCTATTTCTTATAATTAATGCACCAGTTAGAATTAGTCAAGTCTCTGCCTCTTGGGATTTTAGTATAGATAGGTATGTGCTAGGCAAGATTTCTCTCTTACTGGACTCTGTCAACAGTGCTGGCAACCCTCTCGTGTACATTATTGTTGGATGTCGAAAGAACCAGAAGGCTATTCAGTTTCTTGAGACCGCTCTGAAGGATGAAGGAAATGCAACAGAGAAAACACAATCCAGCGAATCATATGACTGAAAATATCCTGTTCAGAGCTAGAAACGAATCCTTACACAGAGAGAAATGCTGTTTGATATTCTGGTTTTCAGAATAAAAAAAATGTAAACACGTTCATGTGTTGTGGATTACTTTGAATATTACCTAAACAGTTTTTACTCTATATACACAAAGATACTACTGGTCCCTGGAACATTCAAAAGAAAACTCTGCTGATTCCCTATACAAGATATCTTAAGAAGCACTGGGCAGTACAGTAACCAGTAGGCATAGAATGAACCATGTCGGATAACTCATTACTTATAATAATTTCGTTAAAATTACCTTTTTGAAGCGATTTCAAAGCATGTTTAAAAACCAGAAGTTCCTTTGCTCTTCTGAATCTTTTTCCACCATTTTTGTTACGACTTAGGAAGTGAGTCGGAAATGATTCTGCATATTTTCAGCCATCTACTACTCTGCTGGGAGGCAAGCAGATTGTATGCTGGGAGGCTCCTTGCCTCCCAGCCAATCAGGGGAGAAGTTTTGGAGGAGCACATGGCTCAGGGGCCCATTCGGAGCCGGGAAGGCTCCGAAGGGAGAAGGGAAAGGGAAAGGGAAGGGAGGTTGTGTTGGAGGGAGGTTGGAAGAAGAGCACGTTGGGCAAGCAAACAAGCAGAGAAGAAGGGCCGGAAGAAGGGCTGTTGCCTGCCTGGCTGGCTGGGCAGCCTGCCTTGCCGTTTGTGTGTTGTTGCTGTTGAGGTTTGGGATGGGTGGGCACCACGAGGGTAGTGTGTGGGTGAGTGGCATGGGTGGAAGGAGCAACACGGAGGAACCAAAGCACTCACTCCAACATTTTAAAAAGCCAACGTTGTAGCAGGTCTCTCTAGCCTCAGCGTTTTTTAGTTTGTATTGCACATTGCCTCAAAAGAACTAAACCTCCCATCAATTCAAGCCATTCTTTGAACACAAACTCTTCTTCCTAGCGTTGTGAAATCAGCTTCCAAGGCAAAAAGGGCAGGGCTGTTTGTTATTTTCTTTGTTTGCTGTGAGTTGCCTAAAAATGTACTACAAATCCCATGCTTTCAAGTCTTTCCTTACCTAACTTGTGAAATCAGCTTACAAGGCCCCAAAAGCTCTCAAGGCTAGCTTTTTGTTATTTCTTTTGTTTGCTGTGTGTTGGCTAAAAAGACACTACAGATCCCATACTTTAAAGTCTTGAGATTGGTTATTGTGCAATCATGTCTGCCATTAACGAAGTAATTCGGAAATTTTGGAAATTTTGGAAAGTTCCCCAAAAAAAAATCGGAATTCAATCCGAATCGAACCACCAGCGCCCTCTACATCGAAAACGAGATTTGAACCATATTTTTTAATCAACCAAGTCTAGTAACCAGAATTCAGAACAGAGGTAATTGAACAATAAATGTCCATATATCTTGTTTTACAGAAGACAGTCCTCTATTTTAAGGTTTCTTCCTTTGAAATGCCGTCCAATGTCTGATTTAAAGATTGAGAACAGGTACTAACATCATATGGTCCCACACTTCATTGTACTACTTTTCCTACACATTTCTATTAAGTTGTATAAACAAAATACAAAATTACCTCCAGGCTATGTGTATAAAATGTATATGGCACATTGTCCCAAAATAAATGAGAATGATTTAATTGCACAGCACAGATGAGCCAGGAAAGCAAAGTGGAGCAGATGTTCAGGGAATGACTAGTCCCAAAAGTTAACTGTGTGTCCAGTAATCTTCTTCCCTGAATCTACAATTTGGTGATGGATCTGTGCATTGTATGTTTTTACCCTGTTTCCCCTTCCACTCCCTCACCCACATTGTGCTTCAGTAGTTATATTTATATTTTTAATATACCAAACATACCAAGTTTGTATGAAAATGTGACTTCTATTTCCTGTGCTGGTCAATGATCGAAATAAATGATTTGATTTGAAGTGGAGCAGATGGAAGGGGAACATTGGCATAAAGTTTGATTTTCTTCAGTTGAGTCTGTGCCTTTGTAGCGGTATGTTAGCAAAGGGTGTAGTAGTTTTTGCGTCTTTTCAAGGGCAAAAAAGCAGAGGAGTCTGGAGCAGCATCCTTCAACAACATTAACTGAGAACAATGTGTCTCTTGTGAAGGCTGTTCTGAATGCTTTCCCACCCACCGTACAGCCCTGACTTTGCTCTGTGTGATTCCTTTCCCCAAGCTCAAAACCCACCTCAAAGTTACAAAATGTTTTATCAGTATGTGACACCTGTAAAAATAGCCAAAATGTAGCTACAATTGAAAAATACCTGTTGGAATTGTAAGAAAGCAACGGGATCATTTTCGCATTTGTGGAAGTCCTGCAAGAAGGCAAAAAAATGGATTGAGATTCATAAAACTATAGAAAAAGTATTAAAATGAATCCAAATGCATTATTACTTGACATAAAGTCCACAGCAAAGGCTAGAAATGGAAACAGTTTGGGGTAATACAAATCAGACTTTGTTATTATCATGCCTACGGGGATTGTCACTGCTACAGTAATTTGAAAGAGCTAGTTTATAGAATAAGTTTAATGTTTATATTGGAAAGAGTATACTGTACTTTTAAAAGTTGTATATTATTTGATGTCAAGGCCTATGGCTAGTACAATAAACAACTCATTCATACTAGGCATAACAGATAGATCACTTTGAAGACATATGTCAGACCTTTCATTCTAATGACAAGTGTAGCAAGAATTGTGTATGCGCAGACATGGTAACTAGAAAAAAACACCAAAAATCCAGTAAAAGTAGCTGAAATAGCAGAAATTGACATTTTGGATATCTTCAGACAAAAGACGCTTCAATATTTAAGAAAGATTGGGAACCATTCAAAAATTTCCTGGAAGTAGAGATAATTCCAACATGGGGATTTCGTGTTTAAGATGTTTATCTATTATATTATATTGTATACGATCAATTAGATAATATGGAAACAACATAATTATGATGTATATGAAAGAAGGATGTGTAAAACTTTGACGATATATTTCAATTTATTGTCGAAGGCTTTCATGGCCGGAATCCATGGGTTGTTGTAGGTTTTTCCGGGCTATATGGCCATGTTCTGGAGGCAATGTTTCTCCTGACGTTTCGCCTGCATCTATAGCAAGCATCCTCAGAGGTAATGAGGTCTGTGGAATGACCAGGGTGAGACAAAAGACTTTTGTTAGCTGGGGCTAGCTGTGAATGTTTCAGCTGATCACCTTGATTTGCATTCAATGGCTTGGTAGCGCCTGGGGGGGAATCTTTTGTTGAGGGTGATTTCATGTGCCTGGGAAACTGATGAGGAAACACAACATACAAACCACTTACAGACCCACCAAGAAAATCCAACAAATGCTACGTTCAGCAAAGGACAAGAGGGATCCTCTCACCTCTGCAGGAGTCTACCGTGTACCATGCAGCTGTGGACAAGTCTACATAGGGACCACCAAACGCAGCGCCCAGACATCACATCAAGGAACATGAAAGGCACTGCAAACTACTCCAACCAGAGAAATCAGCCATAGCAGAGCACCTGATGAACCAACCTGGACACAGCATATTATTTGAGAACACAGAAGTGCTGGACCACTCTCACAACCACATGTCAGACTACACAGAGAAGCCATTGAAATCCACAAGCATGTGGACAATTTCAACAGAAAGGAAGAAACCATGAAAATGAACAAAATCTGGCTACCAGTATTAAAAAACTCAAAAATTACAGCAGAAAAACAACAGAGGGGAAACAAACAGGCACATGAAATCACCCTCAACAAAAGATTCCCCCCAGGCGCTACCAAGCCATTGAATGCAAATCAAGGTGATCAGCTGAAACATTCACAGCTAGCCCCAGCAAACAAAAGTCCTTTGTCTCACCCTGGTCATTCCACAGATATATAAACCAATTTTTCCTAGTTCCAACAGACCTCATTACCTCTGAGGATGCTTGCCATAGATGCAGGCGAAACATCAGGAGAAAAATTGCCTCCAGAACATGGCCATATAGCCCGGAAAAACCTACAACAACCCATATATTTCAATTTTTTGAAAAAGTTTTTTAAAAAGAAAGAATCTATTTGGAGGCCTGAACTAGCTTCACATTCATCAGTAATAGTAATGATACTTTTGTGTGATTGATGTGAACTTGGCCCAGACTTTTAGACTGACATAGTTATGATGATGGTGGTGGTGGTGATGATAATAGTTGTTGTTATTATCATTATAAAAGCAGACAGGTAAATTCTCTGATGGGATATAAAGGTTGAAGCAGGTATCCACCAGCATTTCAAAAATTTTGAACATGCATACCTTTTACTCTCTTTCTCAAGGTTGATTTTGCCCTTCTTAAATGAAAATTAAACAGGGATTCTAACCCAGATCCATCACAGTATAACTATGCCCCAGGTTTTGAAATGTAATCATCTCGGCTTTCAATAATTGTAATGATTACCATAGTTAATACTGTCTAGTGGTTGTTGTTTTTTAGTAGTGAGGATAATACATATTTTGCCAGGTTTACAGTGGGTTTAATTTGTCTGTTAATTCTGCTATGTTTTGTTTGTTTCTAAAGTCTCATTTTTCTTTCTTGTATGTTGTATTATTGTTATAAACCATCTTCAGGACACTTATGGAAGAGGTATTCAAAGGCAGTATGTAAATGTCTATATACATAAACACCTCGAAAATATGTCAAACACAAATTTCAAAACGACACCACAAATGTACCTTTTGAATGTGCCCGATAAAGAATTAGAAAGGAAATGTGGAAAACTTTTGTTTTACACAACAGTGGCAGCTCAAATAGTATATGTCAGATATTGGAAAATCCCAGGGATGCCTCCTTTAGAAGAATGGGAAAATATATTACAGATTTGCTGATAATGGATAAAACATCTGTATTATTAAGAGAAGAACTATTAGACAACTTTTTAAATGCATGGCAAGCAATGATTAAACATCTCAATGTAAAATTAAACTAAAAATGTATACAGAGGATCCTATAAGACTGTAAACAAGGAGGAAGCGGATGTTAAGAAAGAGTTTGTTATACCTTTATATGTACTATTTAAACAGAAGACTGTAACCCCTTAAAGAAATTATATTATCTGAGAAATAATTATGGAACACTAATAGCTGGAAACTATTGCACAGTATGCAACAAACACTTGCAAATGTATGTCTGTTTGAATAAATAAATATTAAAAATATTTAAAAATAAATAAATAAATACCTAGATTTTAAAAACCCACCTCAAAGGACATCATTTAGAAACAGTTGAAAACTGCCAGGCAGCTGCAATAAGGGCTTTGAAGACTTTCTTGACAGCTATGAAGAGTGGCAGCAACTCGAGCCGCTGTACTTGATCCCAAGGAGTCTATTTTGAAGGGTATAATCCAGGCATGGGCAAACTTTGGCCCTCCTGGTGTTTTGGACTTTAACTCCCACAATTCCTAACTGTCTACCAGAGTTGAAGTCCAAAACACTTGGAAGGGCCTAAATTTGACCATGCTACCCCTCTATTCTGCCTTGGTCAGACCACACCTGGAATAGTGTGTCCATTTCTTGGCACCACAATTGAAGAGAGATATTGACAAGCTGGAATGTGTCCAGAGGAGGGTGACTAAAATGATCAAGGGTCTGGAGAACAAGCCCTATGAAGAGCGGCTTAAAGAGCTGGGCATGTTTAGCCTGAAGAAAAGAAGACTGAGAGGAGACATGATAGCCATGTATAAATATGTGAGGGGAAGTCATAGGGAGGAGGGAGGGAGCTTGTTTTCTGCTGCCCTGGAGACTAGGACGCGGAACAATGGCTTCAAACTACAAGAGAGGAGATTCCATCTGAACATGAGGAAGAACTTCCTGACTGTGAAAGCCGTTCAGCAGTGGAACTCTCTGCCCCGGAGTGCGTTGGAGGCTCCTTCTTTGGGGGCTTTTGAACAGAGGCTGGGTGGCTATCTGTCGGGGGTGCTTTGAATGCGATTTTCCTGCTTCTTGGCAGGGGGTTGGACTGGATGCCTATGAGGTCTCTTCCAACTCTATGATTCTAAATCCTTCGTCAGCCTCCACAACCAATTCTCTCTCGTTTCCCCAAATGAGGACCAATAGGCCCTGCCCCACGAGTCTATTGGCCGTTTAGCTCCATCTGGGGTTGTTTGTGAGCGTTCCTCGGCTTTTGAACTGGGAGGCCTCCTAAGGCCGGTTCCTTCCTAGAAGGTTTCTCGAGACATTCTAGGAATGAGAGCTCAGAGGGCCGGCCCTTTAAGGCTCTCTCCTGAAAGAGGATCATTGAGAGGGAGAGATTTGAGAGGCTGGTCTCAAGCTGGAGAGTAGGCCCATCCAGGCCTATCATAAAAGGTGAAGGCAGAAAGTGGGCAAGGAAGGCCCCAGGCACATTAGAGTGGCAACTGGCACCCCTACAGAGGCTGAGGGGTTGTTTGGGGAGGAAGAAAGTACTTTGAATCCTGCGATATTGGTAGGGAGTGAGTGGGAAGAGAGAGATGGGAAGTAGGCCGCCCTGCCTTTGCCCAGCCTGGCTCCGGTGGCCAGGCCTTACAAGTTAATTCCAGGCCTAGCCGAACCAAAGCACTGGCCCACAGCATCAGGGTTCTGCCTTTGATGTGGTTGGTCAATGAGAAATAGGCTTTTGTGGAACTTTTAATGGAAGGTTGTTTAATTTTTTTCTGCTAGCCCAAGCCTGGGCAAACTTGGGCCTTCCAGGTGTTTTGGACTTCAACTCCCACCATTCCTAACAGCCTCAGGCCCCTTCCTTTTCCCGCTCAGCCGCTTAAGCTTTCCTAAGAGCTCAATTTAAGTCCCAGAAACTGATTTCTGCTCCCCCCAGTCTTTGACCTTAATTGCCAAATTCTTTCTGACCTGCGTAAACATTGGGCCTCCCTACGGTCCTGGCTAATGTCCAGCCTGCGACTGGTCTTATCTATCTCTTCTTTAACTGCAGGTGTGAAACTATTTTGCAGAATTGAGCCTGGAAAGGGAGTGAATTTTCCTGCAAACTTGAGCCTGGAATTTTCTCATGAGAACTTTGCCTTTCCCCTGACCCTTCTCGATCAGAGTCTGTAGTAATCTTATTATCCAAAGTGTCTCCATTTTGTACCTCATCCTCACTGACATCCAAACAGGCTCAGAAACATTAGAAGGGGAAAACACTATAACAGATTCAGGGTGAAACACAGGCTGAGTCCCAACAGTGCCAAAGACTGGTACAATATTTATGACCACTGTCTACATTTTTCTTTCCTTTCTAGAAACCCACCAGGAACATGCAGTCAGTGCACTAGTACATGGAACAGCATTTTGAGTAGCAATGCCATACATATCCGGCAGTCCACACAACTAAAAGGTACACTAAATTTTTATTTAAAAAATGTTAGTAGGAAACAGATTATTTGTATCTAACACAATATATCTTCATATTTCTTGGAAGAGATCTAAAGTCTTGAACTGTTAAGAAACTGTGCAAGCATTTTTAGTTCTTCTGTAATAATTTTAATTCCAGCAGTTGTGCACAAGCAAGCAATCTGAGACAATACGTGTGGATCTTTTCAACAAAAGTATGAAGCATTTGGTGGACTTGCTCTAATGCTCATCCTCATCATCCTATTCATCATTAAAAATACTCAGAGAAATCCTTGTTCTCATAATAGGAGTTTTGAAGACAGGTAAGATATTCCCAGTACAACGAACGCCCAGTTGCAACTAACATAATACGGGTAATATTTCAAGAGAAAACCAATAAAAATCTTAAAATAAACAAGGATAAAAGATATTGTGCATTCTAAGAAATAAAAGGATGTGTTACACATTAAAAATAATAGCTGAAATGAATGTATCTTCAGCTTCTGGCAAATATGTATGTTACAGTCAAATGGATTTGGCAATTTCCCATTTACTTTATTTACAAGTTTTAACAGGGTATGTGTAAGCAAATTAAAATTTGAAAATGGAGGGAAATTTCTGGCCAAATCTTTTATCAGTATGTGTATGTGTGTGTGTATGTATATATATATATATATATATATATATATATATATATATATATATATGTTTTTGTTAGGTAATCTTCTAAAAATTGTTCTATGTCAGATGCAACGGGCTGTCACTTTAACAATGACCCATTATATCAAGACAAAGAGGAATAAATTTCATTTTTATTGGACATATTTTTTTATTTTTTATTATTAGTATATCTGAATATTTGCATATATAATTTAAATGTATGGGTTCATAACAAGCAAATAACAGTTTGGGTTGCTGTGAGTTTTCCGGGCTGTATGGCCATGTTCCAGAAGCATTTTCTTCTGAAGTTTCACCCACATCTATGACAAGCATCCTCAGAAGTTGTGAGGTCTGTTGGAAACTAGGCAAGTGAGGTTTATATATCTGTAGGATGTCCGGGGTGAGAGAAAGAACTCTTGTCTGTTTTAGGCAAATGTGAATGTTAGCATTTAATGGCCTTGCAGCTTCAAAGCCTGGCTGGTTGCCCGGAAAACTCACAGCAACCCAGTGATTCCAGCCATTAAAGCCTTCAACAACACAAATAAGAGTAAATAAACAATAAAAAAAGGCGCTCCATGCAGTCATGCCTGCCACATGACCTTGGAGGTGTCTATGGATGACGGCGGCTCTTCAGCTTAGAAATGGAGATGAGCACCAACTCCCAGTCAGACATGACTGGACTTAATGTCAGGGAACAACCTTTACCTTTTACCTAATTTTTCTACTGTATTCCATATAATCAAATTGTACCTGTCTTCTAATGCATAGGTGTGAAAAGACATACATATATATTCACAACTAACATGTATACCCAGTGTTGCCTAGGTTTGCATATACTTTGTGGCAGTTTCTTTTCTTCTTCCCTTTCCCTCAAACACTTTGTCCTTCTCTTGCTTTTTTCCCTTCCTGACTTTTCCTCATACACTTACCCCCTCTCCCTTTTTTCCATTCTCTGCTTTCCTTTCTCTTTCCTTCTTTTTCTTCTCTCACTTTTGTCACCTTTTCCCATTTATTTTTTCCTTCACCTCATTTCTTTTCCCATTTTTTTCTCATCCCTCCTCGTCCTTTCTTTTTCTATCTTTCCTCCCTCTGATTGTTTTCTTTTCTCTTCCCTTTGTTTTGTTTCTTCCTTCACTTCTTTTTCCCCTTTCCAATTTTTAATTATTTTAAGTTGGATAATCAAGGGTATGTGTGCCAAGTTTGGTCCAGATCCATCAAACCATGTAGGAACCTTTGTGGCGCAAACCAACAAATATACATACATACACATTTTGACTTTTTATTTATATAGAACTTAATGATGGCTTGCTGTGTTTGGTTTTGGCAGGTTCAGAAGAGTTACTGGACACACGAACAATCTCATGCTAGCACAGATAAGAGACATATTTACCATGTTTTGTTGATGCTGTGAACAAAAATGACGCAGATGTGGGACATCCTGCATTCTACATTTCTAAAGCAATGATAATTATAGCCATTCCAATCTGCATTTTGGGATTAGTTGGGAATGTATTAGTTTTCTACTTTCTTTCCTTTAAGGTCAAGAGGACAAGGTTCACTCTGTATATACTGAATATTACTATTGGTGATACTATTGTTCTGGTTTATCAATATATATATTTCATGCTATTTTTGCAACCAATTCAACTTACTGGACCCATCTCACATTTTATAGAGATAATGTATATCCTTGGAGAAAATTCGGGCTTCTATGTATTAACAGCTGTTTGTCTTGAAAGGTGTTTCTCAGTCTTTCCCCCTATCCTCTGTCAATTTCACCGTCCAAAGCATCTTGCAATTTATATTTGTTTTGCATTGTGGACCTTCTCTGGCCTGGTATCCATCATTGAATATTACGCATGCAGACCAAGATTCTATGCATATCTGGATGAAGATAGTCACCACTGCTATATTCAAACTATATTCAAAATTGTCACCGGGTACTTCATTTTAATTCCCCTCATGGTCTTTTCCACTCTGGCCATTTTTATCAGAATGCTACAAAAAAGAAACGAAAGGACTCCTGCAGTGTTTGATTTTACCATCATAGGTGTAGTTATTTTTTTTCTTATATTTCAAGCTTCGATTAGACTTCTCTTTACTCTAGAGTACTGGTATGATTCAATAGGTTTACCTCTCTTTTCATTATCTGTCTTATTTGATACCATCTCAAGCAGCATCAACCCTTTTTTATATTTTTTCATGGGATATTTCACTTACAGAAAACGTTATCCACTTGAAGTTTTTCTTCAGGCTGCTATGCGGGATGAAAGCAGCACATTAATTAGCACGGAAAATAACAGAGTAAATAACACGGTAGATAGCACGGTAAATAACATGGTAGTTAACACGGTAGATAGCACGGTAAATAACATGGTAGTTAACACGGTAGATAGCACGGTAAATAACAGGGTAGATAACATGGTAGATAGCTCGGTAAATAACATGGTAATTAGCACAGAAAATAACACGGTATTTAGCACGGAAAATAACATGGTAATTAGCACAGAAAATAACACGGTATTTAGCACAGAAAATAACATGGTAATTAGCACAGAAAATAACATGGTATTTAGCACGGAAAATAACACAGTAATTAGCACATAACAAAACCAAAGCAGACCAAAACAAAAACTGTTAGACTTCAGAAATCAAATGAAAATCAACAGGATTATTGAATTCCAAGCTGAAAAATAAATGTATTAACAGATCATTTATTTTACTGTTCATTACTCAAATACATATATATTAATCCTTTATCAGACTCAGCTGCACATTTTATTTGAGCCACAGATCCCTTGTCGGTTTTTTTTCACACCAAGGTCAAGAAGAACGATACTGGAAGAAAGGATGGGAAAGCATTTGGTTGGCAAGAGAACATTAAGTTTACACTGTATTGAAACCAGGAATGATAGAACCATTTACAAACTAAGGACTTTTTCACATGAGGCAGAAAAACCAGAATTGCAGCTAGATTATCATTTTAGGTGATCACAGGACACCATGTACATCCCGCTACCAGTTTGCCTCCCCCCAGCATATGATTATCTTCTCAATAGCTCCCAATCCAGCAACATTCCCATTTCCCAACTGTGCCAAGATGGATCCCTTCCACTGCTGTGCTGCATCTCGGGAATAATGTGATACTGCATGTGTGAAAGAGTATTCTCCTCTTTCCACTCTTCCTTGCTATTCCCAACTTGGCGGATTCTCTTTTATTTTGTATTTATATTTCCCTTTCATTGGTTTTTAATGCTGGAATTGTGGTAATTGCACCAATACTAATAATACTATTAATTTAAGGATCCATGATAGTAGAAGAAGGCAGGGTTAAAAGGGTGTATGGAAGTATGATCGCAAGGCCATGGAATGGCAAAGTGGTGCAATTGTGCAATATTTAAGATATTCAAAGCAGTATTATCCACTACCTAAACCGGGGATATCAAACTCATTTTCATGGAGGGCCACATCAGATTTATGGTCGCCTTCAAAAGGCTAATGAATATGGACAGAATCCATGGATACAGAGGGCCAGGTACATTTTTTATATAGAGAGAGTGGTCGGTGCTCTTTAGTTTTTAACCCCATTTGGGTCCCCAGATGTTGTGGAATGACAACTACCACTTTTGATTATCTCCCCATGGGGACTGACGATAATGGGAATTACAACCCAACAACACCTGTGCCTCTGAGATTGGGGAAAGGTTAAAGGACATTTTAAAGTCACATCTTATCCACAAGCCTTGTATCTAAATTCAGACCCCACTCTCCTGACTAAGCAGAATAAACTGCAGCCTTCCAGATGTTACTGTATCACAACTCCCATCAGCTCTCATCATGATGTCTATTGATGAGGAATAAAGTTGTAGTCAAAAATCTGGAGGGCTACATAAATGACATGGAGGGTGGATTTGGCCTTGAATTTGACAGCAAACACGTCTGTAGCAGCACAGCAGGTTGGTATGGTAAAATCTCAAGACTTCACAAAGCACAGTATTAATAAAAGCTAGCAAGACAAAATTCATAAGCAAAAAAAAAGGGGGGGGGGAGTTCACACAGACATGCATAAAATTTGCCTATTATTATTTGATGTATTTATATATATTTTCTTTCATATGGGACCCAAATCAGATTGCAAGGTACATTGAAACAAAATAGCTTAAATGATCTTAACACAACTTTAAAAAATAAAACAATATACACAAAAACATTATTTGATGATATTTAAAATTAACATGTTAAAATCTATTACGTTTTGGAACCAGTACACCCATTTCACTTCCCCAACCAGTTAAACCTGAAGACCAGTTTAAATGTTTATCTTCTGACAAAAAGATCAGAAAGGGATCCAGCTAAACCTCTCTAGGAAGCGAGTCCCATTGTCTGTCTGTAACCACTGAGAAGGCTCTTTCTTGAGTCCTTACCAGATGTGTCTGTGATGGCGGTAGAACCGAGAGAAAGTCCTGCAAGATTTTAAAACTCAGGTAGTTCCTTATACTCAAGGTGTAAAATCAGATCAGAAACAGACCAGTAGCCAGAGTAGCTTTCTAGCAAGGGAGATACAGTAAGACCATCTGATCCACTGCCTTGATTTTGATGGTTTCACTTACCTATACTCCAAAAGATATTCCCAGTGTTTATCGCAGTGGTTCTTAACAGGTGAGTCCCCAAATGTTTTGGCCTTCAACTCCCAGAAATCCTAACAGCTGGTAAAGTGGCTGGGATTTCTGGGAGATGTAGGCCAAACACTTGGGAACCCGCAGGTTGAGAACCACCGGTTTATCATCTTTCCTAGGTTTATGCTTTTGGCCCAAGTAAAATCAAATATGGGGTTTGCTACTGTCCAGTTTTGGGTATCTATAGGTATTTGTGCCTTGGAACATATTCCCCAAAGTTAGAAATAACTCCTAAAATTTAAGCAACAATAATAACACTGTACCAGAGAAAACTGATTAGATGATCTGTGTGCCAGCTGAGTGTGCTATTGAAATGTTAACTGCTGATGGATAACTGTTCCTGCTCTCCCATACGACTCTATAGTAAAACATCAAACATCTGGGCATCCCCTGGGCAATGTCCTTGCAGATGGCCAATTCTCTCACACCAGAAGTGACTTGCAGTTTCTCAAATCGCTCCTGACACACACAAAAAAGAAGACACTCAAAACTAGAAATGGACCAGATTACTTTTTGGCCACACCATCTGGGAAATTCAGGGACTTAATCCAAAATGTTATCATTTGGGTCTGAGCAGACAGACCTTTAAACTGACGGAAGAGCATCCTTGTACAAGCCTCCAAACAGAAGCTTGCCCTTTAGGATAAACAGCCACTCCAGCAGATGGATATTCTAAAGACAAAAAGATCAGAAGGAACCACAGAAGAAATGTGCTCATACGGATCTGGAAAGGTACTTGCTGTTAAGACGTAATGCGTGAATGCAAACAGAAGGCTATTTTTACTAAAAGCAGCTGCCAGTACATTTTTAGGTGAGCAATTTTTTTTTTTTGCACAACTCTTAAGATGAAGGCAGTGTCCTGGCTATGGATCACATATAGTGATAATAAACTGCCTGATGTGGGAACCTGGCAGGGCTTTTTCACCTAATGTGCCATTAGTCACTGTATTTGGCTATTTTGTTTCTTTTCTGGACATTCTACAATGCCCACAATTTTGAGTAGTACTGTATGGATGAATGATGGACCACCAGTGCTGTCACACTGAGTTAGTGTGACAGCACTGACTCGGACGTCTTCATATCAAAATGTTTAGAGCATGAGGAAGTATGAATAGCAATCAGCCTGTGTCTTGTTGGGTACATATCGCTATATCTATTGTCAACAGTGCTGATTATCTCTGGTGTACTTTGAACAAGGAGATTGCTGTTGCAGTTCTTTGCAACCAAACACTACTATGGTGCTTCTGTTACTTCTCTGGCAAATAAGGAACAGGTGTTCACACGCTTGTTGACAGTTGTATTGTTTCCTTTAAGCAGGGTTTTTTAGTTATCCGGTTTCATAAGAAGCCCAATACATTTTAGCCCTTATATTTACTGATTTGCCTTCTTCAGGGGCTATATAATACAGAAAACAGAATTTTTCTGAAAAAGTTTCTCCATATGCACACATCTCTGTTGCAGCTCAACCTTATGCATGTTTGCTCATTATCATCTTCATTTGCTCAGGTACACCGTTTAGAGGAAAACAGAAAGGATGCCTGCTTCAATATCAATTTTTTTTTTTGCTGTTTTAATTCTATAAAAATATAATGCTACTGGAAACACATTTGATCCCGCTGGATTGATACCTTACCTTGACTGACCCCATCTCTGTTGCAGGATGGCCATAAAGCTCAGGGAGAGGTCTTGACCATTGTTGGGTATTTTTGCTGATGACAGCAAAGGAGCCTAGAAATAACAAGGAGCTCTCTGGAGATCTGTGGCCATTCGCTGAAGATTGGGAGGACAAGGTGGGACTGATCCATCCCCCTTTCCCTGTACTGACAAGTTCAAAAAAGGAGGATGGCAGTAATAGGCCATGTAGGCAGTAGACAGGTTCAGATTACAGCTGGTTCAGCTTTCCAACCCAGTTTCTTGGATTTTTGTTGTCCACTGATGTCTGCCCTTTTCACCTTCTCACCCAATGCCAATACTAGATGCAGCTCTCTTCATGAGGTAGGTGGGGAAAGATGTAACTGGATGGGAGAGCTGGATGCTAATTCTGTCTCCCAGCAAAATCATGAGTGAACAAAGGGTTAAGACAACAAAAATGCAAATTATTTTATTCCGCATATGACTTATGAGGTGGGTGGGAGGGAAAGGTGAAGCTGCATAAAGAAAGTATGTTTCCAACAGATGATCTGTCACACAGCACAACTGGAGGAGCCTCCAAGGAAGAAGGTTAGCAGAGACCAAGAGGCCACAATGCCACAAATTCTGGAAAGAGAGAAGAAAGTTTAGAACACCATCAGGCTCCAGAATGACCATTTTGATCTCTAAAGTTCCATATCCATGTTCATAGGCACAAGCAATATGGCGCTTCATTCTACTGCCAGTTCAGAATATGTGACCTTGCAATAACACCTATTTCCACTTCTAAATTATTGAAAATAAATATAAAAGAGATAATACAGATATAATATTTTTTCCAACACCACTCAAATAATAATTTTGATATAGAATCATTTTTTTCCAACACCACTCAAATAATAATTTTTTGCATAAAATTAGCTTATGCACTCCATTATGGCTAGTGAATTATTGATAATGAACAATTAAAATAACTAGGTCATGTTTTATCTGTCTCTCTTTTTTCGTTTGATTTCATGTTCTTTTGCTTTGGGTAGAATAGCTTTAAATACTAGGTTCCATCCAGGTTAGGAAATAGTCAGCAGCTGTATTCAGAAAGGTAGCTTTTCTCCCAGGATTGCGATCTGGAAGCATATTTCATAAAACAAGCAAACATGTAAAAATTAAAACAAAACCTAATGCTTTTTTCCCCGTGTCAGGAGTGAATTGAGAAACTACAAGTTGCTTCTGGTGTGAGAGAATTGGCCGTCTGTAGGAATGTTGCCCAGGGGACACCCAGATGTTTTGATGCTTTACCATCCTTGTGGCTTCTCCCCTGTCCCCGCATGGGGAGTTGGAGCTGACAGAGGGAGCTCATCCACACTCTTCCTGGATTCGAACCTCCGACCTGTTGGTCTTCAGTCCTGCTGGCACAGGGGTTTAACCCATTACGCCACCAAGGGCTCCTTAACCTGATGCTAGCATGAAGGCACAAGCTCTATATCAAATAATTCTGCTATTTATTTATTTATTTATTTTTCTGTATTTCTTCTGAACTGAATCTTTTACCCACAGGACATACCTGATACTCTGCCAAGTTCCCAAAATTGGAAATAAAACAAAAAATACAGAATTGGAAATACCAAAAATATCACTGTGGTTTGATTGAAAGTTTTTATGGCAAAAATGTCAGAGGAATAAGGCTGAACCCCTGAAGCTGCATAAAGAAAACATGAAGGATAAACCATCACTCACTCCATTAGGTTTCCGGGAGAATCATTTTTTTTCCAACACCACTCAAATAATAATTTTGTGCATAAAACAGTTTGCACTGAACAATCAGAAAGGGAAGATGCCATTATCCCAGCCACCCATATAGATTATTCTCAAACATTTCAGATTTCAGAATAAATGATACTCAACCTTTCATTTTTTATTGTTGTGCAAAACAAAAATTGCAGTGACTGTTGTCCACTTATCTATGATGGGAGGGCAGTGCTCACTTTCCTTCAGCAAGGATGGCCAACTTGTGGCTTTTCAGATGTTGATTCAGTGCAATTCCCAATTGAATTTCACAATGGGTTAATAGAAACTATGGGAAGTGCAGTCTAACACCTGGAAGACCACAAATTCTCTACTCCTGATTTACAAGATTAAGTAGTCATATTTTTGGTTTGTTTTCCTTGCCTGCTCTCTTTGCAGAGGAAGAAAATCAGACTTGATAGGTCTGGAAAGTATGGGGGGGGGGGGAGAGTGGCACAAGGCAAACACTACAGCTGTACTGATGAGGATGCACTTCTAAAGCCAGTTACAAAAAAGTAATGATCCCCCGTGGATACCAAAAACTGTGGATGTTGAAGTCCCATTATATACAACAACCTAGTAAATGATGCACCATTTATAAAATGTCATAATCATGGTTTGCTTTGGAGATTTTTTTTGTGGAGGAATATTTTCAAGCTGTGGCCGGTGGAATCCATTGATACAGAATCAGTGGATAAGGAGGACCAACTATAAGCCTTGTGAGGAAAGAGAAGCAAATGTCAGCATGAGACACACGCCTAGGCTATATTTCGACAATGCTTCAAACGTTTTTTTTTTGGGGGGGGGGGGGGGAAATGACAATCATAACCTTATTGAAAAGGGAAAATGATGTCATATCCATTTAGCAAAGGTGAATCTCCGTGAACATCTGGAGACCATCTTTTGATAACCACTAGTTAAGAAAAGGCATGACCTTATTAGAAGTCAGCCCTCTGAACAAGTGATATCCGTAAGCATTCATGTAATGGCACACAGGTAACTTAGCTGTTAAACTAATTAACCATGTCTTTGAACTGCCAGGGACAAAGACATGCCATTGCATAAAAAAATATTTGGCTAGCAGACTTTTAAAGATGTTTCTTTGAAGTTGAAATTGAAATTGCAGTTGCCCAAAAATATATACTCTCCACTGAAACCTTTTAGTTTAAAATATGCACACAGAGATAAAAAAAAAGTCTTCTTTGAAAAATTACATATCTTGTTTACTCTCAAACATCTTGTATTAATTCACCATATGGACACATTTATAGATAGGATGTGATTTCTATGTGTTGAGAACACAGGGTATCATTCTTATTCAATAGTCCATAGTACAAAGTATAATTGTACTCACTGCTTCTCAAAGCAAGCATGTAGTAAACTGTTCTGCATAAGTCCAAATGACATCTGCTCTCAATAAAGTCCAAAAACATACTGATTCTAATGAAGTCTCTAAAGCATACTTCTCTACTGAAGCTCAAACATATACTGATAACAAAATCAAGTCTTGAGTCTGAACATGCTCAATACAATCACATGTCTATAGCCCCTCCAACACCAAAGAGGTCTGGGTTGTTGTAGGTTTTTTCAGGCTATATGGCCATGTTCTAGAGGCCTTTCTCCTGATGTTTCGCCTGCATCTATGGCAAGCATCGTCAGAGGTAGTGAGGTCTGTTGGAACTAGGAAAAAGGGGTTTATATATCTGTGGAATGACCAGGGTGAGACAAAGGACTCCTGTCTGCTGGAGCTAGGTGTGAATGTTTCAACTGACCACCTTGATTAGGATTTGATTGCCTGGCAGTGCCTGGAGCAATCTTTTGTTAAGAGCTGATTAGATGTCCTTGTTTGTTTCCTCTCTGTTGTTGTGCTGTTCTAATTTTAGAGTTTTTTTTAATACTGGTAGCCAGATTTTGACCACCAAAGAGGTCAGTCAAACTGACAAATAATCATATACATATAACACAGGTTAGCAAATATATACATTAACAAATAAGTAGTGAAGGCTTGGGAGGTTGCTATTCCCAACACAAACCACTCATTGAAATTCTACGATTTGGATTTCATTGGAAGCTCTGCAGAGAAACCCTAGAAAAAGAGCAGGGAAGTGCTTTACATGAGCTCAGATCTTATTGTGGACAGATACAGAAGGCCTAAATCAGAGAATGCCTGTTGGTCATTACTAGCATTATAAAACTCTAATAATTAACTACGATTTCAAATAAAGTCAGTTTTACTTACTGGAGGAAACAGTTCACTTCCGGGGCATGCCTCCAGTAGTAATACAGGGAAATCTGTAGGTTGGGATGGGTTTTATATTCTTCCAGCACCATCCTGATGCTGTAAGAATTGAAAGAAAAAGGAAAAAACCAAAAGCAATTTAATAATTTCTAAAATGCAAATGCTAACTAGGGCTAACATTTCCAAAAAGCATTACCCTCCCACTGCTAATAGCTCCTTCTATGGTAATGGGTAATTTTTTTTCCTCAGAGCAATGAGAAAAAAAACCTTTATAAGTACTGACTAGGAGTCCATCTCCTTACCTAAACTAAGAGCAAACATATTATGTATAAATGATTGTTATGTAGCAGGGAGCTGGTCTTAATTACAAGATGGGGTAATATTCATCATCAATAGAATTTATTCAACTAGATAACTATGTAATGATCGCTACAGTTTTACCATGTAAATAATACAACAAAGCTCATTTTAACAAGAGAACTACTTGAAAATAAACAAAAGAAAAATTAAAAAAATCATAGGCTTAATAAACACAATAATAAATATGGTTACAAATCTAACATCTATTAAATAAGTTGTCTAAGGCTTTCATGGCCTGAACCACTGGGTTCCTGTCAGTTCTCTGGGCTGTATGGCCATGTTTCAGAAGCATTCTCTGCTGACATTTCGCCTACATGTATAGCAGGCATCCTCAGAGGTTGTGAGGTCTGTTGGAAACTAGGCAAGTGAGGTTTATATATCTGTGGAATGTCCAGGGTGGGAGAAAGAGCTCTTGCCTGTTTGTGGTAGGTTTGAAGGTTGCAATTGGCCACCTTGATTAGAATTTCATTGGAGCCCTAGTGGCGCAATGGGTTAAAATCTTGTGCTGGCAGAACTGTTGAGGTCCTGTCTGTCATGAGAGATGCCTCCCACAAGATGGTAAAACATCTGGGCATTCCTGAGCAACGTCCTTGCAGATGGCCAATTCTCTCACACCAGAAGCAACTTGCAGTTTCTCAAGGTGCTCCTGACACAAAATTTAGCATTTAATGGCCTTGCAGCTTCAAGGCCTGGCTGGTTGCTGCCTGGGGGATCCTTTGTTGGGAAATGTTAGCTGGCCTTTACTGATTCTTGTCTGGATTTCCCCTGTTTTTTGAGCATTGCTCTTTGTTTACTATCCTGATTTTAAAGGGTTTTTTTAAATACTGGTAGCCAGATTTTCTTCATTTTCATGTATTCCTCCTTTCTGTTGAAATTGTCCATATGCTTGTGGAGTTCAGTGACTTCTCTGTGTAGTCTGACATGGTGGTTGTTAGAGTGGTCCAGCATTTCTGTGTTCTCAAATAATATGCTGTGTCCAGGTTGGTTCATCAGGTGCTCTGCTATGGCTGACTTCTCTGGTTGAAGTAGTCTGCAGTGCCTTTCATGTTCCTTGATTCGTGTTTGGGTGCTGCCTTTGGTGGTCCCTATGTAGACTTGTCCACAGCTGCATGGTATACGGTAGACTCCTGCAGAAGCGAGAGAATCCCTCTTGTCCTTTGCTGAATGTAGCATTTGTTAGATTTTCTTTGTGGGCCAAATGCAGAATTCCCACTTGCCTCAAGCAGACAAGAGTTCTTTCTCTCACTCTGGACATTCCACAGATATATTAAACCCACTTGCCTAGTTTCAAGCAGACCTCACAACCTCTGAGGATGCTTGCCATAGATGTGGGTGAAACGTCAGGAGAGAATGTGTCTGGAACATGGACATACAGCCTGGAAAACTCACAGCAACCCACTAATATGTATGTGTTCCAATAAAAAGCTTTATATTTCATGTTGCTTTATCAGCAATTCTGTCAATAAGATCAGGGAAAATGTTTAGGATCAACAATATGTACAAAGTTGAAAAAAAGTTTTTGAACTACTCTTGGATTTGCAGAAATGTCTATTAACTCCAGAAGATGTATGCAGCTTACGAAACACAGCAAAAGTAGCCATATCTAGCACATGAGCTGAATCCACCTTGATTTCCAATGTTTCAGAAATGAGACTCTCCCTCTTTGAGGCAATAAACAGCAGGAAAGATCAGCTGTATAAAATGACAATTTTGAAGGCAAGGCGCATTAGTATTTCAAAGACTTACTTTTTAAGTCTATTGGACAGCAAGAGAAACTGGTTCATTCTTAGGCGTCGCACATCAAACCTGCAGAAGATTCTTAATTCCCGATGGATTTGCTCTTCATTCACTCCAGGCCATTTTTGTACGTTAGCTATCAGAAGCGGGAAGTGTTTCATATGGTCATCCAGGCCAGAAAAATTCTGAGAAAGTATATAAATAAAATTAAATTTTCATTTGCTGATGACCTTATGTTGTGTGTGTGTGTTTATGTCTGAATGCAAATTCTGTTAGGAAAATAGTCTCTCTTGCTTCACCAAACTGGATTCTGTTGATAAAAGAGCGAGCACCAATCGCACAAATTCAAGATGCCAATTGTATTAACAGTATTATCTTTTACTTCATATCAGACCCATACAATCCACAAACTATTCCCACCTTTGAATGGTCATTGTCCCCCATCCTGTATCTTTTCTTTCTTAGGACTTTTCCACACAGCAGCCTTTAAATAATTTATGGACATTTAAGTAGCTTCCCTGCAGATTGGTAGTCAGGTTCTTTTTTGCATTTCATACTCACAATTTTCTGAATCCTAGATCGCATAAGGTTCACCTGATTCACATGTGAAGACAAAACGTTGAGGTACTGGGAAAAAGAGGAGGCAGCCCTTGTGTGATCACTAGTTTAAAAAAGAAGGAGAAGGAGGAATAAGAGGAACTTATTTTTAACAACTTGATTATTGTAAGCTGCCTTAGGAAAAAATGGTAGATTTAATCATATTTATTTATTTATTTATTTATTTATTTATTCTATTTGTATTTTGCCTTTCTCTAAACTGAAGGGGACTCAAGGCAGCTTTAAAATATGGCAATTATTTAATGCCTTTGAACAACAAACAGTTAAAATACATTAAAAGTTAAAGATTTAAAATTAAAATTAAATCCACATTAAAAACATATAAAACATTAAAATAACTATTAAAAATCACGTCATCCACAATTGCCATCCGGGGCCATTCCAAAAGTCATTGCACATAATTCCGTAGCTATTATTGAACTGTAGTTAATCTCTAAAGGCTTGACCCCAGAGCCAGGTTTACACTTTCCTTCCTAAGGCCAGGAGGGAGGGAGCTGCTCTGATATCACTGGAGAGGGAGTTCCACAGCTGAGGGGCCACCACTGAGAAGGCCCTGTTTCTCGTTCTCATCAGATGCACCTGCGAAGGAGGCGGGACCAAGAGCAGGGCCTCCCCAGATGACCTTAATCTCCAAGGTGGTTCATAGGAGGAGATACGTTTGGACAGGTAAGCTGGGCTGGAACCATTTAGGGCTTTATAGGCTAAAAGCAGAATTTGAATTGTGCTCGGTAGCAGAATGGCGGCCAGTAGAGCCGATGTAAAATAATACGCGAAGGGACTTGGGGCGACTTACAACAAGCAGTAATACAAAAATATAAGCAATACATGATTAAAAATAATACCAAAAATTATCATTTGGTACAATTTAAAATACTATAAGTATAAATAAATAACAATTTAAAAGCCATTTATCCTGTAAAAATAATCTAAGCATATATCACCATTTAACCAGATTTAAAATATATTACATGACTAGAGAAATAGATAAACAAGGAAATTTATAGATTATTATCTACATAATTTCTCATTGATCCTTCCTGCCTTCTGTAGTTATAATAAGAAAAAGTTTGCATTTCTATTTCTTCACTCCATCTGATTTTAGAAAGAAGGGTATCCTTCTAGTTCTAATTTTTAAAAACCACTAAGTGTCTATGCTTAGATTGTGTAAAGTTATTTAAAATATTCCAATAAGTCATTCATAGGTCACTGCTATGTCTGGATCACTACGGTGTATGAAAACCATAGCTAAATTTCCTCATGCACATCGGTGAAAAAAGTTAAAAATAAATAAAAATGGGGGTTGTGGAGAAAGAAATTATGGTGATTCTTCAAGAAAAATCTCATTGGAATCATCACTTACCAAGACATGCTGCAAAGAAGCAAATGGGCAATTTTAAGAAGAACTAGAAGGAAAAACAGTTCCATGGTTATGTCTATAGTTGAGTACAAACAGACAACAACATAGGAAAAGTTACATTTTATAATTGCAGCAATGACGTATGTACGTGAAGTACCACAATCGTTTCCCTTTCTTTTAGTGCAGTGAGTCCCAATCTTTGGTTCTCCATGTGTTTTGGACTACAGATCCCACTGTTCCTGGAAAGCTGACTGGGATTTCTGGGAGTTGAAGTCCAAAATAACTGGAGGACCAAATGGGAACCACTGTTTTTGTGAATATACAAAATGCGGAAATATGATTTCAAATCACTAGGGCTTGATTCAACCTCATGAAGTGGACTGTTTCTCTGAGATGGATTATATGAAAACAGGCACATTTCTTGGTACACTTGTTTCCATTGCACTGAGATAAAATTCCATAATTATTAAGAAATATCCATATGGTGATGACTGCACTCAGATCTCTTGCTTCCTATTTTTGCTGATGTTCCATTTTCATAACAGAAGCTATGGGTTGCAGATATGCTTAGCTGTGTTTGAGGGAGATGGCAAACAGCAATCCTTACTGTATTAGGCCAGGTAGAACCAGCAGTCTGTCACTCAGGAATGTCCTCTAATGCTACTCTAGCAAAGCTTAATCCTTTAACTTTAGCAACAGAGCAGATACCCCATATTAGGGATAGTTTTGTTTTTCTAAACTTTGAACAGTTCTTTGGGATCCTCCTCCTCTTCCCCACAACAAGTTTAATACCTGCCAGGAGAATGTGAATGTATATTATTGTTGTTTAAATAGTTATTTTATGGTGCTTTGTATTTATTATTGATGTATTTAGATTGTTGTTTACACAATTTTAATATGTGGTAATTCGCTTTGAGTCCCATGAGGGAAAAAAGTGGGATATAAATAAATTATTATTATTATTATTATTATTATTATTACCTGAAACATGTATTTTTGCAAGCTGGATATTGTCAATAAATGACATAGAATATCCTGTACATTAAAATAGGAAACATGGTTTCTATGGCTTGGGTGATACTGACAATTTTGCTTAAGTTTGAAAGAAATTAAAATTGAGAGTGACAGAACTTCTAATCCTTGACCCAAAACAGGCAATTTTCTGAGAAAAGGCAAAATGCTAGTCAGTTCCAAATTTCTATGAAAATGTGGAACCTCAATCAGTGGCTGAGATTCCCTCCAGGGCACACGGAAAACTGGGTGACTTGGAAGGCGATGAATAGACTGAGCTCTGGTACCATGAGATGCAGAGCCAACATTAAGAAATGGGACCACAAAGTGGAGTCTACAACATGTGAGTGTGGAGAAGAGCAAACCCACAGACCAATTGCTACAATGCAGCCTGAGCGCTGCCACATGCACAATGAAGGACCTTCTTATAGCGACACCAGAGGCACTCCAAGTGGCCAGTTACTGGTCAAAGGCCATTTAGTATAATGCCAAGTTTTAAAACTTTGTTTGTGTCTTTAAACACATTACAGCTGTACCCTCAATTCACTTCTGACACGATAAATAAATGAAAATATTTATTATAGCAACTTAAGTTTAAATGTGAAACCTTGTCAAAACAGGTTAACAAATGTACATTCAAGGTCCAAATACAAAGACCTGCGGTGTTTGTTCATGGAGTACCTAAAACTGATGGATCAGATCCAATGGGTTTCAATTTAATCCCATTTATTTATTTATTTATTTATTTATTTCGCGCATTTCTACCCGCCCTTCTCAACCCCCGAGGGGGGACCCATGAGATAACACACTAAGTTGTGAACTCAAGGAGGTGGAGGATTTATATAAAAGAAATAGACCGATAAACACTTCAAATTGTTTTATAGAGGAGTACAAATTCATATGGTCAGGAGTAGTATAAGCTAGAAATTTCACCAATACCTGATCCGCAGAGGAATGCATCATACGCTGCTTCATGGAGACACGTCTTTGTGGCTGAAAGGTTTGATCAAAACAAAAAATGCAAATTTTTGCAAGGTATTCTATAGAAGGACTTTGAGACCAAATCATATTGTTACCAAAAGATCAAAAGAAACATTTTTCCTTTTTTTTACTTTATATTGTCATTTCTCTCCTCTAAAGCATAAATGCATTGAGACGATTAGGGTTAACACATACTAATCCCAGGACATTACCGTCGAATCTTATTATGAGGCTCCAGCATCTCTAGGAGTTTCTAGAAACAGATGTATTTTGAAAAAGCACAAGTTTGTTACTATTTCTTTAATTCTTGCGCAATAAAGAAAATATTATCATATGGTAACCATGTCAATTAAATCTATTCCACTTTCAGGCTACAAAGCAACAAAATATGGAAAATCCAAAGAGGGGCATGTGTTTTAGAACTCTAGATGGAATTTGAACTATATAATATGTATTTTACGTATACTGGTTTTTGACCAGAAGACAAGAGTTTGAGTTTTATAAGCGTATTTACCATATCTGAGGCAATCCCCCGAGTGAAAGATTTCTGGACAAGACTGGTTTGTTGTATTTATAGCACTGTTGAGAGATAGTGACAGTTTTCAGTTCTCTTTATTTATGTGACATTCTCATCAATCCTCCCTGCCTGATTCTCAGTTGAAATGCAAAAAAATCAAGGAGAATGGTTTATATTTTTATACTAGATTAGATGAGGTAAGGAATTATAGAAACAAGATAATTATTTCTGTGTTAGCTATTCTGCCACATAAAACATATTTAAGTTAGGTGATAAGGTGGTGTTTGAAATGTTCTTTTCTGTCATTTGCTTTTAACAAAAAAAATTATTTCTCTAAACCTCTTATTTTTCACAGTCCAATGATGATGATGATGATAATAATAATAATAATAATAATAATAATAATATTCACAGAATCATAGACTCATAGAGTTGGAAGAGACCTCATGGGCCATCCAGTCCAACCCCCTGCCAAGAAGCAGGAATATTGCATTCAAAGCACCCCTGACAGATGGCCATCCAGCCTCTGTTTAAAAGCTTCCAAAGAGGGCGCCTCCACCACACTCCAAGGCAGAGAGTTCCACTGGTGAACGGCTCTCACAGTCAGGAAGTTCTTCCTCATGTTCAGATGGAATCTCCTTTCTTGTAGTTTGAAGCCATTGTTCCATGTCCTAGTCTCCAGGGAAGCAGAAAACATTTATATTCCACCTTTCTCCCAATAATCAGAATGAGGATAGCGTAAAACATATTTAAATTATATTTCTTTTGTTCAAAGCACGACATGCCTCTAAGGATGACAGAATTATATAAACTGCTTATCTACTTGTGGCTGTCTAGGTTTATCATGATATCTTCTGCATGAGGAACTGTCTCACTCAAAAAACAGGTCTGAACTATTAGACAGAAGTCACATAGTCTGGGCATCCATCAGATGTCAACCTAAGATGGAAACGCTTCTCATCGAAATGGTCAGCTGTTTTGAGGATAGGGTCTAAAAGCAAACCAGCTTTTGAATTCTGGAAGGCTAAACTGTAACTAATGCTGAATGAAATGTGACTATAGGCAGTTCTCAAGTTACCAACAAGATACATTACCGTATATACTCTAATATAAGCCGAGGTTTTAGCCCTTTTTTTAGGCTGAAAAAGGTCCCTCAGCTTATACTTGAGTCAAGGTTATTTATTATTTTGCTCTGGTTGTTGTTGTTGTTATTATTATTATCATTATTATATTTATTATTTTGCTCTATTTATTATTGTCATTATGACATTTATTTTACTCTTATTATTGTTTTTATTACATTTATTATTTTACTCTCTTTAATAAGTAAGCACATTTACATTGAAGAAGGTTAGAATAATGGTTTAATCAGAGTTGGACAGTCTTATCTTAAATAACAGTTTTATGTAAATATTTAAAAACATTTAACCTACTGATGCCTCAATTAATGTAATTTTTTTGGTATCTATTTTTATTTTGAATTTTACCAGTAACTGCTGCATTTCCCACCCTTGGCTTATACTCGAGTCTACATTTTCCCAGGTTTTTTTTTTTTTTGTGGTAAAATTAGGTGCCTCGGCTTATATTCAGGTCAGCTTATACTTGAGTATATACAGTATGTAGGTTTGTTCTTAAGTTAAATTTGTATGTAAGACGGAATAGGTACATTTTTAAGTGTAACTTCACTACTATATATATATCTTTGTTAGCTTTGGACAGCATAGGGAAACATTAACACCCCTTTGGTGTTTGTTTTGCTGTCTGTGCCCCTGTTCAGAGGATTTCACCTCCATTTCCATCCCTGTGTGAACTGGATTTTGGATCATTTGGCTTATTGTGGAAAAAAATATTGGTGATAAAACTTCCGTGGAAAACCTTTTCCCCCATGGCAACTTTTTCAATAGTGAATTTCCCTTCTTAGGGGTAGGTTTCCCTCACTTCCTGTCTCACCCCATTCATAACTATGGGTTGTTTGTAAGTTGGATGTTTGTAACTGGGGGCTGCCTGTATTAGTAAGAAACAATAAAAAGTCAACATTCTTTTTCAAGCACAATGATAAAACCCCAAAAGAGCTTCAAAAATATGACCTACCTGCAAAGCCCTTCATAAACTTCTGCAAGGGTAGAAGCTTGAGGAAATGGAAATTCCTGTTTAAAGAAAAAAGAATTAGTTTCTATGGTTTTAAAAGAGTTGAAGAACTGTACAAGATAAGAAGAAAATCTACAGCCAGACAAATAGGAAGTGACTCTATGTTGTTTTAAAAGGCCTCTGGTGGGGCTCATTTTGGCACAGTGGGAGAAGCAAGAGTGATGAGCTTGGAGAATTAAAGTTACCTTCCAAATGGACTTTGCAATGTTTTTTGTATCCAAGATGATGGGAAACAGAGTGTGTATGTTCTTTTTAAACTCTTCATAGTTCTCTGAAAATGTAAGCAGAAGGAGGTGGAGGCAGGGAGAGAGAAGACAATGAACCTAAATTGTTAAAATACAACTCATGAAGCCACCATTGCTAATCTGATCAGAAACTAGAAATGATTCCTAAAGTCAAGATTGACAAAATGTGGCCATGTGGGCTTGGCTTTTTTCAGACCTCTCCTTGAATTGAGGAATCCCCCAGCAAATACAATCTAGATTCTCATTATATTGCGACTCATCCCTGTACTGTTTATAGGGCTGGCTTTAGCGCAGCAGGTTCAACACCAGCTGTAGTCAATCTTGTCAGTCAAAAGGCTGCCAGTTCGAAGCCGGGTCAGGGTGAGCTCCTGGCTTTTAGCCCAGCTTCCACCTACCTAGAGATTCAAAAGCAAAATGTGATTAGATAAATAGGTACCACTCATTAAAAAATGGAGGAAGTATTCTGAGGTACCCAGAGGAATGCCAGCAATTCAATCCAAAAAGAGGAAAGAAATTATGAACTAGCACTTCGGCAGGGAGATGGAGCGACAGCACCGGCTCATGGCCGGAAACAAGCACAACACCTTCCAAGATTCCGAAAGATGGGGGAAGCCGATATATATACCTCTTATCTATGTATAATTGTCTGTGTAGTTGTGTATAAAATGGCATTGAATGTTTGTCGCCTATGTATGTTTTGTGATCTGAACTGAGTCCCCTTCGGGGTGAAAAAGGTGGGATATAAATGAATAAATAAATGTCAAAAAATAACCCTTAAAAAGCAGGTACAGACCACCAACTATTTCTTTTAGTTATCTGGTTTTTTTGGCAGACCATGTGGCTTCTGGAGTATCCCAGAAGCAAAACATAAAAAAGGTTCCTGGCTAGCTGCAGTTGCCCACCCCCGCCCTAAATGAAAGTAAGAACTGGAAAAGGATTATCTAAGAATTAAGAGAAATTATTCATCACCAAAAGAGAGGATACAAAAGTCTCTATGTGGTTGATGTGTGAAATGTCATTACCAGGAAGCGGGTTGTAAAATTTATCATGCAGGTGCAAAAGATCCATCATCATATTGTGTCCCACCAGCGGCTATAGAGAGAAAAAAGACACAAGATATCACTAAACCATCAACCAAACTACTGCATCTCCATACTGGGTCATTAAAAATGTAAATGCTTGGTTCTGCATGATTTGCACCATTTTGCTAATGACTAAGGGGAGGATATGGTCATATGGCCCAGCAACTTATTTTAATAAAGAGCCCCTTTCCCTAAAAGCAAAACACAGACTACAAGCTGAGCAGTTCTAATTTGCAGACAGAACAAGTACAGCATTGCATGACTTCAGGATCTTTGTGGGAGTTTCTTTGGTAAGCTTAAGGCATCTGGCATTTCCCTTGGGTGCAAAATGTTTATAAATACAGCAGAGAACAATTTTAGCTTTAATTTTCCACATGTAAAAAAAGGAAAATGGCACGCACACTTCCAATCAAGTCTGTGTAATCCAATGAAAAACAATTCCATGTAACATGTTTGAAAACATATACACGCCATGAGACAGCTGAAGAATAACCACTGCAAGGTAGACATTTTATAGTCCTAAATTTTTATTAGTATATTATTTATTTATTTACTCTATTTGTATTCTGCCTTTTTCTACCCCAAAGGGTACTCAAGGTGGCTTTACATATGGCAACTATTCAATGCCTTTGAACAATAAACAGTTAAAATACACTTATGGTAAGTTAAAAATTAAAAGTAAATGCACATTAAAACATATAAAACATTGCATTCACTATTAAAATCACGCCATCCTCAATCATAATCCGGTGCTGTTACAAAGATCAATTTAAGAATTATGTACCTACTACCATCAGTCTTCTTAGATGAAAAGGCATCTATTGTCATGAGCTGCTTAAGCTCTTGCCTAATTATTAATTTATACTAAAAGCAGTGTGTGTGCATTCCTTTTTTAAAAGGAAACTGGGACTTGCCTTTTTGACTTTAACAAGTGCCTGGAAAAGATTGGCAAAGCCCTTTGCACAGAGAATAATTTTCTCTTTTTGACAAGAGTCATAGGAAGTGTTCTCCAGCAGCCAACGCTGGCGCGGATTCATCTTTTTCACCAGCACCTGGAAGAAAACAACACAAATACATTTCTGTGAAGTTGGAATATTATATCTTGGTTTAAATCCTGTTGTCAGTCTTGAACACTGTAGTGTTCATCCAACAATATATTGAACGATCTATCAACATTCAACAATGTATTGAACAGATTTATTGAGTTGACAAAGTACACGCCAGCTAGAAAGAGTCAGCATGTAAACACAGCCTTAACAACAGTAACACTTCACTGCTTGCTATTATTAACTTACTTTTAAATCAAACTTTTGAGTATATTTATTTACTATGAATAATACACATTTATTCAAATGAATACATAAATAAACTTCAGAGTGCTGGTTTAAAAAGCAGATCTCTACCATGATGGTGAGACTGTGTTATCAATATTTAGACTCAAAGCTCTCAACATGGAAACCTGGGGCAATGGCAGAGACAAGGAGTTCACAATCCCACAGTCAGATGCTGTAAAGTTATACACTTACTTTATGATCTCCTAAAGGGATAGTCCAAATATCTTTAATAGCTTGTCTTAAAATCAGCTGCACTTCAAACATCTGGAAGCCTTCAAAAAGAAGTAATAAAAATAATATGGCGAGGAGCTGCATATGGTACCTTAGGATATTTTAATAATATCAAGATTTTTTTGTGTGTGTCAGGAGCGACTTGAGAAACTGCAAGTTGCTACTGGTGTGAGAGAATTGGCCGTCTGCAAGGACATTGCCCAGGAGACGGCCGGATGTTTTGATGTTTTTAGCATCCTTGTGGGAGGCTTCTCTCATGTCCTTGCATAGGGAGCTGGCAGAGGGAGCTCAACCCACTCTGCCTGGATTCGAACCACTGACCTGTAAGTTAGCAGTCCTGCCAGCACAAGGGTTTAACCCAAAGTGCCACCACGGTCTCATAATATCAAAATGGGAAAAGTGAAAAAATGCAGAAAACTAAAAAGTATTTTAGGGAGCAATTCATTGCAATTTGATCATCACTGATTAGGTTTTCCAGGGGAAGCAACTGAAGCGTTATCAAATTATGTAGGGAGCAAGTTTCAAGAAAAACAATCAGGAAACGAATAAATTGAAAGCAGGGCTTTTCTGATTAATCTTATTTAACACTGTGAGCCAGTTCAACCATTCAAGAGACATGGAACAATCCTCTTGAGGTGGTAACCTGCGGACTACGATAGTCCTAAGCCTTCTCATACAAAAAAAAAATATCTCCCCACATGTTGAAATACAGCTTTCCAGAGAACAGAGTTATAACTTCCCCTTAAAAGTGTTAGTTTTATACTGAAAATAAGAATTTGAACTTTATGCCTTCAATTCGCGCATGTGAATTTAGAGATGGTACATGCTGAACATGCTGAAGAGGTGTATATAGAAAGACTCTTATTTGATATGATTCTTTGTAATGAGGAATTAACAAAAAGAGGAAAACACCATCCCTGCAAGGATCAAGTTAAGTATATTACAACCAAAACTGCCTCTTAGTAGATAAACACCAAAGGAAATAAGCAAAGAACTAAAACAAAGAAAAAAGATAATATCTCAGGGAAAAAGTGAGAATGCCATACACTCAATCAAGGGATTATGGGAAGTGGATTTTAAAAGTGAATGAAGCGCTATATCACATGTCTTACCATACAGATTGTGCAGAATCATAGAATCTTTATCTTCTGCTGAAGACACCCAGCAAGTAACTTCTTCAATTACCTTCTTCAGCTTATCTTTGCCAAAACCACTTGAAGAAGAACAAGACACACGTATGAAACTGTGCTCTATTTTGAACTCAGCATTAACTTGCTTTTTGAACCCCAAGGTTTGCAAAGGATATCCCACTCTGGTTGACAATTGAGGCATCCTGATAAGACCAATCCTACCATTAGGCAGAGTGACAGTTCTGATTTAGGGCAGAATTTTTAATGGTTTAATTTACCATTCACAGCTTTAACTTTTCTAGATTAGAGAGATTTGATTAATATGTTCTCTTTAGGTCCTCCAGATCAATTCTATGGTCCTCATTAAGTTGCCTTGGAGGATCTAGAGCAGTGGCTCTCAACTTGTGGGTCCCCAGATGTTTTGGACTTCAACTCCAAGAAATCCTATTGGGAGCTGTAGACCAAAACACCTAGGGATCCACAGGTAGAGAACCAATGATCTAGAGATTCCTTGTGAGATGTTAACTCAGTTTAGGTCCAGATTATCAGAATGACCAACTCTTTTTACAAACCTGTCAGTCATCTACGATTGACAAGGGCCTTCTTTCTCTCTCACCACCTGCTCGCACTTTTGGTGGGAACACGGGAGAGGGTCTTTTCAGTGGATGCTCTCAGACTGTGAAACTCCCTCCCAAGAGAGACCATCATAGAATAATACAGTGGGAAGAGACCACATGTGCCACTTCGTCCAACTCCCCCTGCCATGCAGGAAAAGCACAATCAAAGCAGTCCCAACAGATGGTCATTCAGCCTCTGTTTAAAAGCTTCCAAGGAAGAAGTTTCCACCCCATTCCACAGGTCAACAGCCAGGGGTTCAAACAGGAGTCCCCCGGCACCACCTTATTAACAGCACAATGCCTTAATGGTGTTTTGTTCTCCACAGCCTCACCAAGGGGAAGTTGCAAATTGTTGTGGCACTAGGACAATCTTTGGCTTCGTCTCCACTTTGACGAATAGAAGGCATCAGGAAAAATGTAAGCAAATACATAGGAGATATGGCAACAGAAAGAAAGCAAGGAGTGCGAATATGTGAGGTGTGAAAAGTTTGAAGCTGGTCATTGAGAGAACAAATCTTGTAAGCTGTTAGGAAGGGAAAGGGAAAGATACCAATGATAAATGACTGGGCAAATGTTAAGGAAATACTTAGGGAAAATGGGAGACAATGTTCAAGATCCTGCAGAGTGGAAGCATAAAATAAAGGAGTGTGGAAAAGACACCACAGTCCATGGAAGATGGGGGGAAGCTGGGAATACAAGAGACTCAGGAAAAAAAAAGACTGCATGGTATTGGACCATTCTTAAGGTGGCTAAATATGCTACATTATGTAATATATGTAGGAGAAGTTGAGGAGTAGAATGGTTCAGATTGTGGCAAACATGCATATCAATTCACATTAAGGAAAAATCCAACTTCAAAAGCTATTGGCACAGGGCTGCTATACCTACGGACCATCCAGCTACCAGGTACAAGATGCTCCATTTTTTTCTCCTGTGTTTCATTCATGTATGGAATTCCATCTTTAAGAAACTGAAGAAAGAGAAAGGGTCAAGTTACACAGCATGCTGTTTTGGTGGAATATAGGGTCATCCCTGCCCATCTTTTACTTGGTGGTCTTTGTCCTCTATTTAATTTAGGTAGTATTCATTGAATTTCAACAACTTGATTTTGTTTTGTTTTTTTTTAAAAAAAAAACAAGAGTTGTCTCTGTTCAACTGAGCAAGAAGGTTACAAAAAGCAACAGAATCAGTTCTGAATTGATATCTGTTGATGCAAGGGTTATCCTAAACACAGTTCCATCTTTTAATGAAATTGGGGGGTGGGGGGATGCCTTTCTACCCACTTTTGAAAGCACGGATAGCCAAAATGTAGCAATCTGTAGCTCTCACAATCCCTCAGTATTAGCTAGGTTGGCTGATGGGAGTTGCAAACCAAAACAGAGGATCACAAGTTGCTCACTCCTGCTCTAAAACCTTCCATAACTATTCTCATCACTAGTAGTGAAACATCATAATAATTAAAAAGGAGGTATAAAGGTAAAGGTTTCCCTTTGACATTAAGTCTGGTTGTGTCCAACTCTGGAGGGTGGTGCTCATCGCCATTTCTAAGCCAAAGAGCCAGTGTTTTCCGTAGATGCCTTCTAGGTCATGTGGCCGGATTGACTGCATGGAGCACTGTTACCTTCCCGCTGAAGCAGTACCTATTGATCAACTCATATTTGCGTGTTTTTGAATTGCTAGGTTGGCAGAAGCTGAGGCTAACAGTGGGAGTGAACCCCACTCCCCAGATTCGAACCGCCAACCTTTTGGTCAGCAAGTTCAGCAGCTCAGCAGTTTAATCTTCTGCAACACTGGGGGGTACCATCTTTTAAAACAGAGTAAAATTATGTTTCAGTCACTCAAATGGTAGATGAACTGAAAGTGTATGTAACAGCCCACCTGAAACTAAAGAAGGAGTACAACCTCCCAAAGTGATAGTTCTGTTATCAGTGTCTGTAATCTATCCAGTCTGGCCTCTTTAAAATAGTTGGACAGTTAAAAGCAAATCCCACGGCAGGCTAAGGTATCTGTTTCAGCCACAGAAAGGTGCATCTATACCGTAGAACTAATGAAGTTTGACACCATTTAAACTGTCAGGGCTCAATGCTATAGACACATGGGAGTTGTAGTTTGGTGAGACAAGGACTCTGACAGAGAAAACTAAAGACCTTGTAAAACTACAGCTCCCATGATTCTATAGCATTGAGCCACGGCAGTGTCAAAATGCTTTAATTTTAAAGTGTTGTAACATCGAAAGTCACCTTTCCATAACAATCAATTCATAGTTACACTTTAATAACCTCTGAGTATACTGCATTCCAAAAGAATTTAAAAGCAATAGTATTTTTTAAAAATCCTTCTGAAAAAGTTATTGTGTGTAACTTCTCCCCAGCTTAAGTCTTATTTATCTAGTCCAGGGGTCCTCAAACTTTTTAAACAGAGGGCCAAGTCACAGTCCCTCAAACTGTTGGAGGGTGGGATTATAATTTGAAGAAAGCATGAATGAATTCCTACGCACACTGCGCATATCTTATTTGTAGTGCAAAAGACACTTAAAACAATAAAATAATTAAAATGAAGAACAATTTTAACAAATATAAACTTATTAGTATTTCAATGGGAATTGTGGGCCTGCTTTTGGCTGATGAGATTTTGGCTGTTGTTGTGTGCTTTGAAGTCATTTCAGACTTAGGTTGATCTTGAGCAAGGGCTGGGTAAATGACCCTCGAGGGCCATATTTGGTCTTTGAGCCTTAGTTTGAGGACCCCTGGTCTAGTCTATTTGTAAAGGAAAACATACCTTATTAAAGTCAAAACCATAGTGAGACAGAAACTGGATACTTGATCCTTGGAAAGACAACTCAGAATCCATTTGGCCAAATGTTGTAGGGAAGAGGAAAAAGTTATATGAATGGGCCACATACCTGTAAAAGTTAATTGAAACGACTAAGCGTGTGGGCTTATAACAGATGATGCCCATAGGGAAGTCTCGAACATTTATTTTCTCATGACTGAAAAAAATACTTTACTTACTTAGTTGATGTTTCACGGCAAAATATTGACAAACCTAAAAAAAAAAAACCCACACCAGACAGTCTCAGACACAGAGTGATGTTCACTGCCACTTGGCCTTTTACTTCTCTTGGATTTATCTATGCTAGAGTCTTTCCAACCCTCTTAATAAGGAGCTCACATCAGAGTAAAACCTAAAGGCCATTTAGTTTTAGGTCTGACTATTGGCAGTTCACAGAAATGTAAAGTGTTTGATGTCAGCAGGGACACTGTTACCCATATACACTGGCTCCACAAATTCATTTTGGGACCAACTTCCTAAAATATACATTATTTCTGAGGCTGGTAAAGTTATGCAGGGAAACCAGTTTTAAACTTCTGTGTTGTTGTTGTTCATTCCTTCAGTCGTTTCCAACACTTCGTGACTTCATGGACTAGTCCACGCCAGAGCTCCCTGTACCACTAAACAAATATGCCTCAAAGGGCCTAAATATTCCACAAAAAGGTGGTTTAAATTCCCATTCCCTTCCTCATTTTAATTCTTCATAACGGGTCTGCTTATATTCAAGTACTCTTAAACTGAGTACCCGTATATACTTGAATATAAGGAGATGTAAATATAAGCCGAGCCACCTAATTTTGCCACAAAAAACTGGGAAACGTATTGACTTGAGTATAAGCCAAGGGTGGGAAATGCAGTAGCTACTGGTAAATTTCAAAATAAAAATAGATACCAATAAATTGCATTAATTGAGGCATCAGTAGGTTAAATGTTTTTGAATATTTACATAAAACTGTAGTTTAGGATAAGCCTGTCCAACTCTGATTAAACCATTATTCTAACCTTCTTCAATGTAACTGTGCTTATGTATCTTTCCAATAATAATAGAGTAAAATAATAAATGTAATAAAAATAATAAGGTAAAATAATAAATGTGATAAAAATAATACAGTAAAATAAAGGAAATTTAATTATGACAGTAATAATAGAGTAAAATAATAAATATAATAATATTAATAATAGAGTAAAATAATAAATGTAATAATAATAGAGTAAAATAATAAATGTAATCATAATAAAGAGATTAAAATAATAAATGCAGTAATAATAATAGAGTCAAATAATGTAAACGTAATAATAATAGTAAATAAAGTAAAATAATAAATGTAAAAAAAAATAATAACCCAGTAAAATAATAAATAACTTTGACTCAAGTATAAGCCAAGGGGGGCTTTTTCAGCCTAAAAAGGGGGTGAAAGCTGGGCTTATACTCGAGTATATATGTGGATTCAGATAACCCAGCTCAAAGCAGATCTTGTGGGATTTTCTGCCTTACTATTCTCATATTATCACTTTGTAATATGGATATGGACCTTTAAGACAATCACGAAAGCAGGAAAAAAGTTACAACTACCTCTGTGATCCTCCTGTACATTTACCTGCCACACATGTTGCAGAACTTTCACTGAGTTTCAGAAACTAGAAATCACTCACCAAGCTGACTCACTGTAAACTGCTGAATACTCTGTCGGACTTTCCGATACCACTCGGCAGGTGAATCAAAGAGACTAGGAAAGAGGAGGAAATCATAAAGGACTTTCATTTTTGTACATGTTCACATTATTTCTGTAGACACATAACTGGAAATTCATTCAATCAGACAGGTTTACCTGGGCTGTTTCTCTGGTAGCACTGAACGTAAACCTGTGAATTCCATGTCAAGGCCTGCAAAACACAGCACACAAACTGAAACTCAAGCAAGGACACCACACTAGACCAAAGACAATGAGAAGGGGGATCTTTATGACATATTAATTTTAGCAAAGAGTTCAACCTGCTCCAACAGATTCCTGCTTTAAATTCTCTTCCCTTTACTCCCTTCAATAGAAATCTTATTCAGCCTTCCAAATGCTCCCACCTCTCCTGAAGTAAGTCAAATTATGTTTAAAAGATATATATTTTAGAAGTGTGCCCCTGCATAGTCTGAATGTAGCCCCCAGCCTTGCAATGGTTATATCACTACTATAAAATGGATTACAGTTCCTACAATTGCAACCACAATATTAGATTTAAAAAAACATGTATGGCACAGTGAACTCATTGTATCCTCAGGGGTTCTGTTTGGGGACCCCACATAGATATGAAAAAAATGCAAGAGATCATGCAACGTATTATTAAATGACGGCAACAAACAGCTTGCATATCCCTTATGAATTGCTCAAAAATTCAAAACTGTCCACATGGGTGGCTGAGACAGTGCTTCCTGGTAGATCAAGGTAATAAACCAAAATCATTAAAAACATTGCATATAAAATTATTGTCAAGTCTATGTGTAGAAGGCATTTGTTATTAATTGTATTCAAATAGGCTTTGACTTAGGACGACACAATCAAGGAGGGAGCTCCATGCCATGGGAACATCAACCACCCTGCTCAGGTCTTGCAGACTCAGGGTCGAGGCTTCCCTGATTGAGTCTGGAACACATATCTGGAACACATGTCAGAAGTGACTTGAGAAACATACTGTAAGTGTGTGGTATTCTGGTTTGTGAGAACTGATGTTGCCAAGGGGGTGCCCAGACGTGTTACCATCCTGCTGGGAGACTTCTCTTATGTCCCTGCAAGCTAGAGCTGACAGACAGGAGCTCACCCTGTCTTGCGGATTCGAACTGGCAACCTTCAGTTCAGCAACCTGGCCTTCGGGTCAGCAGTCCAGCCGGCACAAGGGTTTAATCCATTGCACCACAGCGGCTCCTATGTCTTGATAGTTTCCTATTACCCTTGATCTTACTAAGCATTACTGCCTTTTTCTAGCAGCATGTGTCTTCTCATGATATGGCCAAAGTTGTGACAGCCTCAATTTAGTCATCTTGGTTTCAAGGGAGAGTTCAAGCCTGATTTGCAAGAGCATCTTTTTCGCAGTCTCCACAGAACCCTTCCTTCAATATATCTCAAATGAGTTTATTTTCTTCCTATACATAAAGTGTGCATGAAAGATAAATGTATTTTGTGTTGAGACTTGATCATCTCCGAGACCTCTCACAATATGCAATCAGTATTGGCGGGATTAATTATTCTAGGAATTTCTACATCGGGGGGGGGGGGGTCAAGGCTTTCTGGAACTCCAGCTGAATGAGCTGAAACTGAAGGAGGAGCAGCTGCAAGAGAGGGAAAGAGCCCCAAAAGAGAAAGAGTTTAGGCTGGAACAGCAAGCGCAGGAACTGGGTGTTCGAGAGAGGCTGGCAAAAGATGTTGTGTATTTTATTGTCTATGTTTTTTTTAATTGCTTGTATTGTTGTTTTATTGCTTGTGTTGTTGTGTTTGGGCTCGGCGTCATGTAAGCCGCACCGAGTCCCTTGGGGAGATGGTAGCGGAGTACAAATAAAGTGTTATTATTATTATTATTATTATTATTATTATTAAGACAAACTGGCTAGGGCTGAAAACTTGATGAAGAATTACAACTTGCTGAAGGACCAAAAACTAATGCTGTCAACAACCAGCCCAGGTATGTAGAAGAAATAGGAGTCTCCAGCTAGACTACTGAACTAGGGATGCAGAAGCTCCTAGCCTTGTCACTAGTGACCTTTTTAGTAATTATTTCTCTGTGATGTATCTATATAAATTTTGTTTTGTTTAGATTCTTGCTCTGTTTCTTCCCAATGTAAGCTGAGAAATCATATATTTCTTATATTATTGGTTAATTTTTTATCATGTGTGATTACTTTTGAGGTAGATGTAGTTATGTTTAATTGTTGTTCACTCGTTCAGTTGCTTCCAACTCTTTGTGGCCTCATGGACCAGCCCATGCCAGAGCTCGTTGTCGGCCATCACCACCTCCTTCAGAGTCAAGCTAGTCACTTCAAGGATACTATCCATCCATCTTGAAGATCCAACCAGTCCATACTCCAGGAAATGAAGCCCGACTGCTCACTGGAGGATATTATAGGCAAAGATGAAGTACTTTGGCTACATAATGAGAAGACAGGAAAGCTTAGAGAAGACAATGATGCTGGAGGAAATGGAAGGAAAAAGGAAGAGGGGCCGACCAAGGGCAAGATGGATGGTATTCTTTTTTCCTGCAGAACGGAGTCCTTTTTGTTATACAAACAATACTTTTAAAATGTGGAACAACAGAAACCGGTATTGTGGTGCAGCGGGCTGAGTGTCAGCTGCATTAAGATCACTCTGACCAAAAGGTCATGAGTTTGAAGCCAGCCCGGGTTGGAGTGGGTTTCCAACCAATTGTGTAGCCTGTTGTCGACCTTTGCAACCCGAAATACAGTTGCATCTGTCAAGTAGGAAAATTAGGTACCACCTTAAAGTGTGGGGAGGCTAAATTAACTGATTTATGAGGCCATAAAGAAGACTCCAGCAAAGCATTCCAGCGGGGAAGCATGCGGGGAATGCGGAAGTGCTTCATCAGCATCGCAGATGGACGGTGAAAGCGACAGCTCCCCTGGCGTCCAGAAAAAGTTAAATAGCTTCTGTGTATGTCTGTATATGTTTGTATGTCAAAAATTGGCATTTTTTTTGTCATGTCAGGAGTGTCCTGTTGTGAGAGAATTGGCCGTCTGCAAGGACGTTGCCCAGGGGACGCCGAGATGATTTTGATGTTTTATCATCCTTGTGGGAGGCTTCTCTCATGTCCCCGCATGAGGAGCTGGAGCTGATAGAGGGAGCTCATCCGCCTCTCCCCAGATTCCAACCTGTGACCTGTCAGTCTTCAGTCCTGCCGGCACAGGGCTTTAACCCACTGTGCCACCGGGGGCATTGAATGTTTGCCATATATGTGTACACTGTAATCCGCCCTGAGTCCCCTGCGGGGTGAGAAGGGCGGAATATAAAAAGCTGTAAATAAAGAAATAAATAAAAATACTGAAATGAAAACAAAATATTATTTATAAAGGCTATTGTAATGTTTGGATGACACAATCAATACAAATGTTATTACTGTGTTGCAAAAAGAATATTTAAGTTTGAAATAAGATATCAAGCTATTCCTTCGGCTGTTGCAAAAGCATCAAAATTATGAATCGCAAATATGCAGCTTGCATCTCGGGAAAAGAGAATGTTTCAATTTGAAGGTGTAGACTGCAAATTGCAAAAAAGACTATGGATTGAAAAAACCATGTCCAAGGATGGATGGTATTCTTGAAGTGCCTGGCTTGACCTTGAAGGAGCTGGGGGCGGCCACGGCTGACAGGGAGCTCTGGCCTTGGTCACAAAGAGTCGGAAGTGACTGAATGAATAAACAGCAAGAACTGCAACCCATCAGCACTTGTGGCTCTGAGTTTGGAGAAAGGTTAAAGCAGGCCTGGGCAAATGTGGGCCTTGCAGGTGTTTTGGACTCCAACTCCCACCATTCCTCACAGCCTCAGGCCCTTTCCTTTTCCCCCTCAGCCGCTTAAGCTGAGGAAGGGGCCTGAGGCTGTGAGGAATGGTGGGAGTTGGAGTCCAAAACACCTGCAGGGCCCACATTTGCCCATGTCTGACAGATAAAACAGGGCTGAACGGGCCTTGCCTCAGGAAACAGCGCCCCCTGTGGGTTGGCGCACGGAACTCCGCCTCAGTCCCACAGGCAAAGCCCAGCCTTTGGCCTCCTCCTCCTTCCACCCGCTATGGCTTTCCTCACCGACAAAATCACAGCCCGAGAGGAGCTCCTGCAACTCGGGCAGCTTGTCCTCGAACTGCGAGGCACAGACATCCATCCCGCCACCTCTCTGGAAGGCCACGCCTCCCACCCCTGAGAACTGGAAGCAGCCTCTTCTCCCTCCTTCCCTCCCTTGTAGCCCCACTTGAACTTTGCTATGGGATCCTGGGAGTTGTAGTTTGGTGAGGGATCCGCCTTCTTTCTTGGGCAGAGGCCCTCAAAAACTACAGCTACCAGGAGTCAATAGCATCCAGGATAGCACAGGGAAGGGGAAACACTCCTGTTGGGTTTGTTTTGCAGTCTGTTCCCCTTTTTAGAAGAGTTCAGCTCACTTTCTGATCCCGGTCCCTTCCACACAGCCATATATCCCTGAATATCAAGGCAGAAAAGCCCACATTATTTGAATGTGGACTCAGATAGCCCAGCCCCTTCCACACAGCTGAATAAAATACCACATTTTCTGCTTTGGGCTGGAATATATGGCCGTGTGAACTCAGATAACCCAATTCAAAGCAGATATTGTTGAATTTTTTGCCTTGATATTCTATCATGAAAAGAAAGGAAAGCTTAGAGAACTGCCCCGGAGTGTGGTGGAGGCTCCTTTGGAAGCTTTTAAACAGAGGCTGGATGGCCATCTGTCAGGGGTGCTTTGAATGCAATATTCCTGCTTCTTGGCAGGGGGTTGGACTGGATGGCCCATGAGATCTCTTCCAACGCTTTGATTCTATGATTCTAAGACAATTATGCTGGGGAAAATAGAAGGAAAAAGGAAGAGGGGATGACCAAGAGCAAGATGGATGGATGGGATCCTTGAACTGACTGGCTTGACCTTGAAGGAGCTGTGGGTGGTGATGACCGACGGGGAGCTCTGGCGTGGACTGGTCCATGAAGTCACGAAGAGTCGGAAACGACTGTACGAATGAACAACAATAAATTCTGGGATATAGGGTTGTGTGGAAGGGCCCCCAGAAGATCAAGACAGGAAATTTCACAATATCTACTTTGAACTGGGTTGTCTGAGGCCGCATTCAGATAATGGGATTTTCTGCCTTGATATTCTAGGGCCCCTTCCACGCAGAGGAATAAAATCCCACATTTTCTGCTTTGAGCTGGAATATATGGCAGCGTGGGCTCAGATAACCCAGTTCAAAGCAAATATTGTGGGTTATTCAGCCTTGATATTCTGGGTTATATGGGTGGGTGGAAAATCCCTGAGATAGGAACTCTGTTCTGCCTTGGTTAGACCACACCTGGAATATTGTGTCCATTTCTGGGCACCCTAATTGAAGAGAGACATTGACAAGCTGGAATGTGTTCAGAGGGGGGCGACTAAAATGATCAAGGGTCTGGAGAACAAGCCCTGTGAGGAGCAGCTTAAGGAGCTGGGCATGTTTAGCCTGAAGGCTGAGAGGAGACACAATAGCGATGTGTAAATATGTGAGAGGAGGGAGCAAGCTTTTAAACAGAGGATAGATCTAGATGGCCATCTGTCAGGGGTGCTTTGAATGCAATATTCCTGCTTCTTGGCAGGGGGTTGGACTGGATGGCCCATGAGGTCTCCTCCAACTCTTTGATTCTATGATTCTTCAGGTGCTTAAGCGGCTGAAGGGAAAAAGGAAAGGGTCTGAGCCTATTAGGAATTATGAGAGTTGTGGTTCAAAACACTTGGAGGGCCAAAGTTTGCCCATGCCTGCTGTATAGGGATACGATCCCACTTTTAACTGCTGTGGTGCATACTCTCAAATTCTGGGGTTTGTCGTTTGAAGACACGCTACAGCTCCTTGGTTGAGAGTTTAATGTAATGAAAGTACCAATCCCAGGTTTGCATAGGATGCAGCCCTGGCACTTAAAAATTTATGCTATGATTCGTAGCCTGAATGGTTCCCTGGACTATTCGTCATGTTTGAGACCCCTCCTAGGTAGGGGCCTTAGGAGGACCTGCTTGGACTCTTAACAAATGGGCAACTTAACTATTTTTCAGCCTGGGTGGAACCTGCATGTTTTCACTTAAGATGGTCAGGAGATCTTAATGCTTGTGCTACCAACAAATGTATTTTCTACACACAATTCCAAGTAAACGTCTTTAGAACATGACGTCAGTTTATATTAAGCCCAACTCAGTCCTATTCTATACATTTTACTTTGCCTGTTTTAATTTTTCTGAATGAAGGATACATTTAAATTTTAAAGTTTTATGAAATTCACTTCAATGTGAGAAGGAGTACACCTGCCTTGAAATCCAGTTTCTTTGTATGAGTTCCAGGTAAAGTTCAGTTTTAGGTAACAGCTATCAAGAAAAAATGCCATTGAAATCAGTCCATCTTTATATTTTTATTTATCAACACATGGTTCAGTATTATTAAACTACAGTTATTTCTCCTGAAAGAACAGACTTTGGAACAGTATTTCTCAGTGTCTTCTTGTGAATCTTCAGTTTATCCATATATTCTTCGTACCTCTGTCAAAGTAACACCACCTTCTGTCATAGCATTTTCAAATTGTTTGACCTGTTTTTGTTTAAAAGAGAAACAAATTAAGTCATGATCTTTGTTCAACCACACAATGTATTTTTGGAATATACTTTTTTTTCACATTTGTTCTAATTTTTCCTAGAGAACTTTCCAACTTTTTGCAGCATATTCTAACTTTAAGGCTACGAACCAGTGCCAACTTTCAGCACCCAAACAAAAGTGAATTGCATTTCCATCACCTGAAGAAAGATGGGCTATAGACCCAATAATTAAGAGCAAATAAGATAATTAACACTAGAGCCAGATGACATCTTGCTGGAAATAAAGTTGCTTTTCAGACATGACAGGAGGTTGAATTGTAGAATCAATTGCATGTTGATTTTTATAATTAGTAAAAAACTAATCCTATCCCAAAACTCAATCTACTTGCCGTTTCGCTACGCCTTTCCCATGGAATTATAGCACGAAAGTCCACTAAGCCGATTCCTGCTTCAAGACAGCGTTGTGCTAGTACTCGTCCCACATTCTCACATGCTGCCATGTTGGATGTACTGTGAAGGTGTTTCTTGATGGCCCACTCTCGGGTGGACGCGGAGACGACAATGTGGCCACTGCAATGCTCAACGTAGGCCTCCACGTGCTTCTGTGATCGCACAAGTCGCAACCTGAAGAGTTGAGCATTTTTAAAATCATAACTTGAGTTTAGAAATTAAAAACTTATTCTTATCACTGCTGAAAAGATTTTATAAAGAAAAGTATGGCACTACTTCTCAGAACACTTTCATGACATAAGGATCGAAAATATTGTGAAGGGGTAACAAGTCATGAAACAGGTGGAATTTTTTAAAAACACATGATTTTCGTTTAAGATTCTCGAGACAAAACACTTCTGTTCTTTTTAAGTCAATTTATCCATATCCTAATCCTTAGTTGGTGTAGTGGTTTCAGCATTGAATGATGACTCTGGAGCCCAGATTTGAATACCTGCCCAGCCATGGCTACTCACTGAGTGACCTTGAACATGTCCCAGTCTCCCAGCCTCAGAGGAAGATAAACACAAGCTTCCTTTAAACATATCTTGCCAAGAAAGCCTTGTGATAGCTTTCACTTTAGTCTGAAATGGCTTGAAACTACACAACAACAGGTTGAACATAATATAGTTTTCTTGGTAAGAGATTTTTTTTCAGAGGCAGTTTTTCTTTGCTTTCCTCTAGGTTTCTATGCTGAGCAGGGATTTGAACCCTAGCTTCCCAGTGTCCTAGTGTAACACACAAACCACGTCACTTCTCTGGCTCTCACTTCTTTAGTAGTGATAAATTCAAAAATATACATAAGAATTCTGCTGTTCTACATATTTTCCTAACCAACCTATGCCAATAGTCTCGTTTGGGCCATGTGGTTCTCCAGCCCCGTTCCTTCCTTGCCAGAGCCAAGCGTTCCAGGTTACGTGGGTTCCGGTTAGTGAAGTCAGGGTTTACAATCTCATTTTCTCTTGTATCCACTTCATCCTCAGCAGAAGGTGTGGAACTGGGAATAGCAGAAATACATCTAAACCCTGTAAAGGAATAAAGTGTTTAAAAACACTGAAATCCAAATAGAGAGAAACAAAATACAATAAACAATGAATTATTCCTTCAAGTTAGAAAAGTTGTCAGTACTTATAAACGTATTACAGCGATGTTGACGGTCTCTGAATAAGAGGTTAAACATTCTGGCTAACTCTCAGAATGTCCAACTTGAATTAATAAAAGAATGTTTATAGACAGTTTCCTTATGCACCCTGCTCCAGAATTTAGAAGACAGCATATTTAACTGAGCTGGGGAAAATAAGGATAAATCTGCAGTTAAAATTAGAGGAAATATTTGAATAATTTTTTAAAAGGCAAGAATAGCCTGAGTTAATAGAAGCAATAACTTCTATGAAGCACTAGATTTATAGACAAACTAGCCGTCCCCTGCCACGCGTTGCTGTGGCCCAGTCTGTGTAAAATGTGTTTTGTGTGTGTATATGTCTGGACATATTTGTGTATATGTTTTTGGTTTTACTGGCACATTAATCTATTAATTTATTGAGTATATGGTTTGGTTTTACTGGCACATTAATCTATTAATTTATTGTTAAATTTTATTGATGTACGTTTTAAAATGATTTTATTGTGAGTTGTAGTTTTTAGGGTATTTATGTTGTTAGCATCCTCTGATGCTCATGTGAGGCCGCGCTGAGTCCCCCTTGTGGGGAGAAAGGCGGGATATAAATATATGAAATAAATAAATAAATATGTGCATATGTGGTTTTGCGCATGTGTTGTAATGTAATTTTTGTTTCTTTGGCTTTTTAAGTCTCTTCTGCTGTGTTTTTCAGTATTTATTTATTTGTCGTGTCAGAACAACCAGTCAAATTATATTACATTTCTAACAGAAACAAAGCAAACAAGCAGATTACAGAATTTGTGAGTATGAGAGTTGATTAAATGTCCTTTGACCAGTATCTGGCCACTTGGAGTGCCTCTGGTGTTGCTGCAAGAAGGTCCTCCATTGTGCATGTGGCAGGGCTCAGGTGCATTGCAGCAGGTGGTCAGTGGTTTGCTCTTCTCCACACTCGCATGTCGAGGATTCCACTTTGTAGCCCCATTTCTGAAGGTTGGCTCTGCATCTCGTGGTGCCAGAGCGCAGTCTGTTCAGCGCCTTCCAAGTCCCCCAGTCCTCTGTGTGCCCAGGGGGGAGTCTCTCATTTGGTATCAGCCATTGGTTGAGGTTCTGGGTTTGAGCCTGCCACTTTTGGACTCTCGCTTGCTGAGGTGTTCCAGCGAGTGTCTCTGTAGATCTTAGAAAACTATTTTTAGATTTAAGTCGTTGACGTGCTGGCTGATACCCAAACAGGGGATGGGCTGGAGATGTCTCTGCCTTGGTCCTTTCACTATTGGCTGCTACTTCCCGGCGGATGTCAGGTGGTGCAATACCGGCTAAGCAGTGTAATTTCTCCAGTGGTGTGGGGCGCAGACACCCTGTGATAATGCGGCATGTCTCATTAAGAGCCACATCCACTGCTTTAGTGTGGTGAGATGTGTTCCACACTGGGCATGCATACTCAGCAGCAGAGTAGCACAGCGCAAGGCAGATGTCTTCACTGTATCTGGTTGTGATCCCCAGGTTGTGCCAGTCAGCTTTCGTATGATATTGTTTCTAGCACCCACTTTTTGCTTGATGTTCAGGCAGTGCTTCTTGTAGGTCAGAGCACGGTCCAGAGTGACTCCCAGGTATTTGGGTGCGCTGCAATGCTCCAGTGGGATTCCTTCCCAGGTGATCTTCAGAGCTCGGGATGCTTGTCTGTTCTTGAGATGAAAGGCACATGTCTGTGTTTTAGATGGGTTGGGGATCAGTTGGTTTTCCCTGTAATAGGCAGTAAGAGCACCTAGAGCTTCAGAGAGCTTCTGTTCAACCATCTCAAAGCTCCCTGCTTGAGCAGTAATGGCACGATCATCAGCGTAGATGAAACTCTCTGTCCCTTCTGGCAGTGGCTGGTCATTTGTGTAGATGTTGAACATGGATGGGGCAAGCACGCTCCCTTGAGGCAGGCCGTTCTTCTGTTTCCGCCATCTGCTTCTCTGACCCTGGAACTCAACAAAGAAGCTCCTGTTTTGTAGCAGGTTTCCTATGAGGCGGGTGAGGTGGTAGTCCTTTGTGATATTATACATTTTCCTCAGGAGGAGGCGGTGGTTCACAGTATCATAGGCTGCTGACAGGTCTATGAAGACAGCTCCTGTGATCTGCTGCCTTTCAAAACCATCTTCTATGTGCTGAGTGAGGTTCAACACTTGCGATGTGCAGCTTTTGCCTTTTCTGAAGCCAGCTTGCTGTGGGATCAGACATGGGTCTAGTTTTTCCATAATTCTATGCAAAATAAGTCTCTCCAGAACTTTGTAGAGGTGGCACAACAGGGAGATTGGTCTGTAGCTTTTTGGGTCATTGCGGTCTTTGCCTGGCTTCAAGATGGCTATGACTCTTGCTTTCCTCCAGATTTTGGGGATCTGACAGGATGCAGTGCAGTTGTTCATCAGCTCCAGCAGCCAGTGCCTTGCTTTGGGACCAAAGTTCTTGATTTGTTCCATCCGTAGGTCATCCAGGCCAGCTGCTTTGCCATTCTTACATTTGTTGAGTGCCATGTCCAATTCAGTGGATGTAAAGGGTTCATGAAGGTTGTTGTTCTCAATCTCTTGTTGTCTGGCTATTGGTTTCTTTCCTACTTTGGTGACAAAGTTGGGTTTCCCATTCTTCAAGAGTTGGTGTGCTATCTGATCTGCCTTTATGTTGGCATGGGTATTAGTTTGTGAGGGGTCATTGCTCAACCGTCTTAGCAGCCTCCACGCCTTCTGGCTGCTCCTGCCCATGTCGACCTCTGTGATCAGTTTGATCCACTGTTCTTTCTTGGCTTCAGAGATGGAGGACACAATGCTCTGTGCTGCCTGAAGGGTTTGCTCACTAAATGGGTCTTCGTTGTGGAGCCTGTAATAGTTTTCCAACAAGACAGCTGTTTCAGGAGTAATGCCCTGAAGGTAGTTGGTGTTTTTCAGTGTTTTTATGGGTGATGGTCGCTTGTTGGCCTAATAGGTGTATTGTGTCCAAATTTGGTGTAAATTCGTCCAGTGGTTTTTGAGTTATGTTAATCCCACAAATGAACATTACATTTTTATTTATATACTAGCCGTCCCCTGCCACGCTTTGCCGTGGCCCAGTCTGTGTATACGTGTTTTCTGTCTGTATATATGTGTGTCTGCATATATATATGTGGTTTTGCGCATGTGTTGTAATGTATTTTTTGTTTTTTGGCTTTTGTAGTCTCTTTTGCTGTGTTTTTCAGTATTTTTATGAGTGATGGTCACTCGTCGGCCTGATGGGTGTATTGTGTCCAAATTTGGTGTCAATTCGTCTAGTGGTTTTTGAGTTATGTTAATCCCACAAATGAACATTACATTTTTATTTATATAGAAGAAAATATCACGGGGGGGGGGGGACTCTTTATGGCTCCCTGAGTTTCTACCTAATACTGTATTCACATTCCTTAGAACAAGAACTGTGACGTCTGCAGAACGATAATACCCTGACATGATCTACCTCTGTAAAAAGGCCCTTGGTAGCATTTATTTTACCTGCTAGTGCAATTACACCCTACTCTACCTCTTGGATCCCCTGGTGAAACACTGGTGAAACACTGGTGAAACACTGCTGTTTCACCAGTGTTTTAAATGTTTAATCTATTGAAACCGGCCCGCCCAATGTGATCAATTTCTGTGTGTTTAAATGCTGTGATTTAATATTGTTGACGTGTTTAAAATGGGTTTGTATTGTATTTTATTTTTGCTGTGTTCTGTTGTATATTGTTTTACTATATTGCTGGGCTTGGCCTCATGTAAGCGTTGCTGTGGCCCAGTCTGGTGATCTGGAAAATAAAGTAATGAGAAAGTGTCAGGAGGGCTCTGATTATGTTTTCTTGCCCTGGTGAAGGGAGTTGGACTGGATGGGCTTAAGTATTTTCTGTTGGTGAACTAAAACTCCAAAACATAAGGTCAATGCCCTTCCAGAGGTTTTTTTGTTGTTGTCATGGGGGTTCTGTGTGGGAAGTTTGCCCCAATTCTGTCGTTTGTGAGATTCAGAATGCTCTTTGATTGTAGGTGAACTATAACTACAACTCCCAAATGTCAGTGTCTACATCCCCCAAATTGTGTTCATATTTGGGCATATGGAATATTTGTGCCAAGTTTAGTCCAGATTCATCATTGTTTGAGTCCACAGTGCTCTCTGGATGTAGGTGAACAACAACTCCCAAACTCAAGCTCAATGCGCACCAAACCCTTCTAGCATTTTCTGTTGGCCATGGGAGTTCTGTGTGCCATGTTTGGTTCTATTCCATCATTGGTGGAGTTCAGAATGCTCTTTGATTGTAGGTGAACTATATATCCCAGCAACTACAACTCCCAAATGACAAAATCAAAAATTTTTGAGTGAAGGGCATACATTGAGTTGTTAGGTGTATGCTGTCCAAATTTGGTGTCCATTGGCCCACTGGTTTTTGAGTTATGTTAACCCCACAAACGAACATTACATTTTTATTTATATAGATGATGATGATGATTATTATTATCAGTCTTTCATAAAAAGAAAGCAGAGGGTTCAGTGTGAAGCCTGAAGTCCAGTCAAACTGGACTGAGGAATTGCCCCGACTCCTGCCCTATTCATATCCTCAAGATCAGCTCGAGAAGTCTGCAGAACTGTCCAGGGCAGATTTTCAGGGGATGTTGCAGAGGACCTCCAACTGATGCAGCACTGAATTTCATACCGACTGCTAGGAATTGTGGGAGTTGAAGTCCAAAACACCCGGAGGGCCGAAGTTGACCCATGCCTGCCTTAGAGGGAACCTGCAGCTTCAGTTTGTCCATGCCTTGGCTAGTGGGTGTTGAGACTTCTTTTGTATCGTGGCTTCCAAGAAGGAGCTTTTCCTACCAAACTGCCCCGTTTCCAATCCAAACCCCGTGGGCTGTGTACCTGGCTCCGCTTCGCGCAGTCCCCTGGCCGTGATCCTCGCCAGCAACGTCGCTTTCCGCAGAGCCATCACGCCTGGCATGATAGCTAGTAAACCGGAGAGAGCGCCATCTTGACTCAGGGAAAGGCCTGCTTCCCTCTCGCAGCTCGATGTCTCCGTTGGATACAACCAGTGGACTTCAACTCCCGAAAGTCCTAAACACTGTCGGCAGCGATCAGGAATTCTGGGAGATGGAGTCCACAAACCGGGAAATCTACTCAAGCCCTAGGGGAAAAAAGACTTCGCCCTTTTAAAAAATGGCGCCTGCAAATGATGGATGCTTATAACCTTGCTTGCGATTGGCTCCGGGCAGCTAGTCCCGCCTCCTTTTCTCTATAATGGTCCCATGAGACAAGGGCATTCCGAAGGATCGGAATGGAACCTTTCAAATCAGGAGTAGGCAAATTTGGGCCCTGCAGGAGTTTTGGACTTCAACTCCCACAATTCCTAGCAGCTTCAGGCCCTTTCCTTTTCCCCCTCAGCCGCTTAAGCGGCTGAGGGGGAAAAGGAAGGGGCCTGAAGCTGCTAGAAATTGTGGGAGTTGAAGTCCAAAACTCCTGCAGGGCCCCAGGCCTGTTTTAGACAGACAAACGTCAGTGCAGATGGCATCATGGGAGTTGTAGTCTGGAGAGCCATTAGCGCCTCTTGGCAGATTAGGCTTGTGAAAACAGCGTTTTTTTTCTAGAACGTTCCAGAACAAACGCAACAGCCACGCCCATATCGCTCGTTGCTATGTAACAGTAGACGGAAGGAGCCCTGCCTTGCTGAACAACCAATCACCATCAACAGCTCAGAAGCAGTCGGCCTATTACGTTTGTCACAGGCGTTTGGATTGGTTAATATTCTTTTGCGGCTCTTCCACTCGTCGGCCTCGCATCTTTGAGTCGCCATCTTGAGAGGCGTGGTACCCAGAAGCCCTTTCGCGCCTGGCTGCGGGGCCCTTCCTTCCTTCCTTCCTCCTTCTCCGCACGTTGCTGTCGGCCGGGCCTCTTTTTGTTCGGGAAGATGGCGGCGCTGGATGGCCCGTTGGCGGTCTTGGGTGAGCGGAGCACCGGCGAGAACGTCCGCACGCAAAACGGTAAGTGGGAAAGAAGGAAGGAAGGAAGGCCGCTCTCGCCCTCCCCGCTTCCTCCCTTTCGTTGTACAATGGCAATACAGCTCTGCGTGTTGTACACCTCAACTGAACAGGCCTCTCTCTTTTCGCAGGCCTCTCCTGCCAGTTCGAATTTTAAGACCACGTTCAAGGCGTGTTGTGTTTCCACTTTTGCTTCATATATATTAATATGTTTATATTTGTTTTCTTGTGGCCGTGTTCTAACTGCGAGGACCCGCCTCGAGCCGTAAGAATGAATAAACAATATTATTCATTGAATAATGAATAAACAATATTATGAATAATATTGAATAACAATATTATTGTTACTGTTACTCAGATATATTTGGAGTGAACCTTCGTTTCCATGCCTCTAAAATATTAAAACAATTTTTAAAGCATTTAATTTAGGAAACACCATTTTGCTATTCCGTTATATATAACGGGACTCAAATATCTACGGATTTTAGTATCCACAACAAACAAGAAATGGAACATTAGAATTTGAAAGGCAATCCATGGTTGTTGTAGGTTTTTTCGGGCTATATGGCCATGTTCTAGAGGCATTCTCTCCTGACGTCTCGCCTGCATCTATGGCAAGCATCTTCAGAGGTAGTGAGGTCTGACTTTACAACCTCTGAGGATGCCTGCCATAGACATCCCCCCCCCGACTCTGGAACACCCTCCCAGATCTTAGACAGGCCCCTACATTGGCAGTCTTTAGAAAGAACTTGAAGACCTGGCTGTTCCGATGTGCCTTTCCAGAATGAAATCCCCAATAACAAGTCCCAGAAGCACTTTATTAGAACTAAGATTGCTGCACACCGCACACTCCACTTACCCTATAATCCTTACATATCACCTGTCGCATCAGCACTTTTAATCCTGTACCCATTACTCTGGCCTGGACCAGTTTTATAATGTCTTGATGTATTATTTATTGCTTGTTGTTTAATATTGCTTTAATTGTTTTTAATTTGCTTTAGGTGTTGTATTGTTATGTTGTGTTTTGAGGCCTTTGCCTTTGTAAGCCGCATTGAGTCCTTCGGGAGATGCTAGTGGGGTACAAATAAAGTTAATAATAATAATAACGGGACTCAAATATCTACGGATTTTTGTACCCACAACAAACAAGAAATGGAACATTAGAATTTGAAAGGCAATCCAAGGTTGTTGTAGGTTTTTCCGGGCTATATGGCCATATTCTAGAGGCATTCTCTCCTGACGTTTCGCCTGCATCTATGGCAAGCATCCTCAGAGGTAGTGAGGTCTGACTTTACAACCTCTGAGGATGCCTGCCATAGATGCAGGCAAAATGTCAGGAGATAATGCTTCTGGAACATGTCCATACAGCCCCGAAAACACACAACAACCCAGTGATCCTGGCGATGAAAGTCTTCTACAATACATTCTATAGTGTGATGAGCCCCTTAGTGAGAGTTCATGCCTGATTTTCTTTGAAATCCATTCATTTTGTCTTGTTTTAAAAGGCTATGTGGTCTGTTATAACAGACCTCACTACCTCTGAGGATGCTTGCCATAGATGCTGGCGAAACGTCAGGAGAGAATGCCTCTAGACCAGGGATCCTCAAACTTTTTAAACCGAGGGCCATGTCACAGTCCCTCAAACTGTTGGAGGGCCGGATTATAATTTGAAAAAAAAACAACCAATGAATGAATTTCTATGCACACTGCACATATCTTATTCATAGTGCAAAAAAACCCCACTTTAAAACAATACAATAATTACAATGAAGAACAATTTTAAGAAATATAAGTATTTCAATGGGAAGTATAGGCCCGCTTTTGGCTGATGAGATAGGGTTGTTGTTGTGTGCTTTCAAGTCATTTCAGACTTAAGGTGACCTTGAGTGAGGGCCGGGTAAATAAACTTGGAGGGCCATATCTGGCCCCCGGGCCTTAGTTTGAGGACCCCTGCTTTAGAACATGGCCATATAGCCTGAAAAAAACCTACAACAACCCAGTGATTCCGGCCATGAAAGCCTTCAACAATCCAATCCAAGCCCATTTTGCCCTGCGGGAAAGCACAATTGAAGCACCCCCGACAGATGACCACCCAGCCTCTGCTTCAAAACTTCCGGAAAATAATAATAATGATAATAGAAAATTTTATTTATACTCCACTACCATCTTCCCAAAGGGGACTTGGGCCAGCTAGCATGAGGCCAAGCCCAGAATTACAGTACAACAAAATAAAATGAAATACAAACAGCAAATAATAACATCAAAATAAAATACATAAAACAACAGGAAATGATACAAACAGATGCAAAATAACATGATGAAGAAATAAAATAAAAGCACAGTGGGCAAGCCAAATGCACAGAATAGGATTGATAAAACCCTGGGAGAGATAAATAAATGGAAAAGTATGTCTGGAAGAGCACAGTGGGATTGAGCCTTCAGTAAAGGGGCGAACAGTGGGATTGAGCCTTCATTAAAGACAAGGGAAAGTGTGTCATGAGGACAGAACTATAGTGGGGAGGGGCATGATACTCATAAGTTGGTAGCTGAATGGCTAGCACAGTGGAGCCACAATTGCTTCCTTTTATGGCACTTGCAGTTTGGAAACTTACTTCTTCAGTAAATAGCATTGGTGTACCAATTATAACTGTGTTGTTAATTTATGAGAATCCTGTACATTATCAGTGAGTTACAAAGCAGGTTGAAGCAGGGTATTTCTGTAGGTTTTATTCTTTCAAGAAATAAAATTAAAAATTGTTAAAAATATAAGTTCTGAACTCAGATTCTAAATGTTTAATTTTCGAATATTATATTTGGACCCATTTTTCTTGACTATTTTTATATAACAGTATTACTTCAAAGTTTATCAAAAGAATACATCTTACCAAAATGCAATTTCATTTGTGGATGGGTGAACTGGTAGCAAATATTAACCACGTACATTTGATAGTATATTATTTTACACTGAATACACTGGAGTAATAGTGTCTGAGGTCTGTAAGGCATTGATCACAATCATGAATGACCATAAGCTGTCATTGATGGAAATTTTTTTTGTTTGTTTTTACTCAACAAGTTAAGTTAAAGTGGCAGTAACCCTTAGTCAGGAAAACTCCAGAATCAGTCCTTTTTGTGAAAGTTATAGTTCTTACCATTTTTATACAGTACATTGAATTGGTAATGGCATATGTAAAAGTTTGAGAGAGAAAAAACCTCACAGATTAGTTAATGTAAATGCCATGTAAATTTGTTGAATTGTTAGATGCAGTTATCACTCCCAAATCAAAAACTAGAGCCATGAAGCCTTCTGTTGGTTGTTGGTCTATCATTCACCGCATTTACCGTCTTTTGCTTTGCTGCCTGGGAACTAAAAAGTGAAAACTTTTCTGCCTTAAATTCAGCTGTAAGGCTATTTAGAATGTGCTCAGTGATTCAGATTGATACTTCCCATTGTACTGCCTCTTATTTCTACAATAAAATAAGAGTCTTTGCTTATGGGATAAAGAAACACTAGCCATTGTCTGAAGGAGAAGATTGATACTGTCTTTCTCCTATATGAAATGGCTAAACATGGCATCACAAAGCAAATGATAGATTTTATTGTCCAGACAAAATGGTGTTGTTCCCTGTTGTATTATTTGTAGAAAGCATGTCAAAGATCCACTATATAAGGAACAGTGTGACATATGTGTGTTTATACAAATAAATGGCAATAAATTTAAGATCTACTTTTAGGATCCATTCAATGATGAAGGGGGAATAGATTGTGTGAATAAATAATGTCAGTGGTCAGTTTTCATGACTGAGCAGGGATTTGAATTCTGCTCCACCAGTGACACTCAAATACATCATGCTGGTTCTATGTGCAATAACTCTGGTTCATACTGGGAATTCATGTCTACTTTCATATACAAAAAATGACAGAGTGCTGTGTTAACTAAATTATAGTTCATCCTAAACAAAACCCTACATGTTCTTGTTCCCTTAACCCTACCAAGTCAAAGTTAAAGAAAGAGCATGATTCTGTTTGTGAGAACTTTTTTCTTTTCTTGAAACAGTGACAGCTGCTGCTTCTATTGCCAATATTGTGAAGAGTTCTCTTGGTCCAGTTGGTTTGGATAAAATGCTGGTGGACGACATTGGTGTAAGTAGACATTGGTCTTTGTAAGATAAAATTGTTCCCTGTGTCCAAACAGATTAAAACAGAGTTGAGGTATATATGTTTATTTTTAAAAGATTTATGTAGTAGATGGATGGGAAAAGTTGAAATCAAAGAAATCTTTATAAAGTACAGTACAACTATCTACATATTTATTCTGAACTAACTTCTATAACTTTTGGAATTTATTCACACATACATGTGCATAGAATGTATTCTCAATATTCGTAGGGCAAATGTATCATAAACATTTATCTTTCTATTTGTGTTTACAATGAAATAATTTGTTGTTACATTTCAATTATGAATAGCAAGGTCTTTTTAAAAATGCTGCTAGCTAGAGGAACAATTATCAAAAGCCTAGAAATGTTTACTATCCACATTTTGTTAACAAAACCTATATTGCGTGGAAACCTTAAACTTAAAGTAGCTGGTAGAAGAAATGGATCCAAACGTCAACTTTCCAGCATGAGTGTGACACCTGCAATTGTTGCATTATACATAGCAATTCCTCTAAAAATACAGTGGTTGATGAAAGTTGTTAATGATGATGATATTACAATACAAAAAATATTTCCTAACACAATTAGCCAAAAGAACCAAAGTGAATTTGGAAGTTCGGCAGAAGTGGATGATGTCCTGTTAAAAATATTTAACCCAATTCTTGCCCATTGGTAGGGCTGCCATTGGCTACGACCCATTATGTTAACTCATAATGGGTCATTAGTATTTTCATTTAATACATCATAAAATCTGTTTTAATTAACATGAACTTTTTTTGTTAGGATGTGACCATTACTAATGATGGTGCCACTATTCTAAAGCTGCTAGAAGTAGAGCATCCTGCGGCAAAGGTTCTCTGTGAGCTAGCAGAACTGCAGGACAAAGAAGTTGGAGATGGGACCACTTCTGTGGTAGGTGTCAGTATGTTTAAACCCAGATGTATAGTAATTATTTTTGTTCTGTCCTCTCCATGATTGCAGAGGCTTTGAAAGCTCAGCATTCTTAAAAGTTTTTGAAAGCCTGCATTTCACACGAGAAATACATGTCAAATTGACTTGTCATCCTTTCAGAAATGATTGACAACATCTGTTCAGGCAGATTACTGTGGCTATTGTATTTCCATGTGTCCTTGTATTGTAAAGCATTTTGGCAAATTCTTTTGTCAAGCAACATACACACAATTAGCGTTGAATTAGTCTGTAATTTAAATTAAAGTTTCATACAAAAATTCCTGTAAATTAATTCTTTCAGTAGTGTTAGGGGGCTGGATTGGATAGAAATTGCTTAATGTTTGATGCAAAATTGATTTAATTTGCTACCAATACTGAAGGAGAATGCTTCCCATTTGACTGCTACTTATTTGCACTTCAAAATAAGCAGCTATGCTTGTGGGATATAGAAATACGTGCCATAGTTTTAAGGAGAAGACTGATAGTATCTTCTTCCTATATTTAATGGCAAAACATACTATTAAATTACAAATTCTGGTATTATTTAGACTTCAAAGCAAACAATAACATTACTGTTTCAGACATAGAAGTGTTGTGATGGCACAGCTAAAGTCTTGAAGAGTTGCTGGGTACAAAAAAAAAAGCTTTTTGGGGACTGGGAATATTTTCAGTTGACAAATCTGCCTCTGCATCACATTTCTATCCCTGTGAAAGAAAACACATCTGATGCCACAATTAAAAAGATGGATATTGAAGCATATGTATATTTTTTTCTCATGGGTTCCTTTAGCAGGGTTGATGTATGTCTTTTTAGACATTATTGGGCTGCAAGTGCCTTCTATTTAATGAATGTATTAAGCCAATTTGAATGGCTCTACTACCAGAGCATAAAGGGAAAAGTCAACTGGATGTAGATTGTTTTTGTGTACTAAAGAGAAAGAACTTACAGACCAACATTAAAGCTTACAAGGCAATTATTATTTCCTTATGTGTGTCTTAAACATGCTATGGGATTTCAATGTGTATATTACTAGATGGCATGTCTTTTTCATTCTGACAGGTAATTATTGCTGCAGAACTTTTAAAGAATGCAGATGAGTTGGTTAAACAGAAAATCCATCCCACTTCTGTTATTAGTGGATATCGTCTTGCTTGCAAGTAAGTGAGATGTTGAGTAGTCCTTGCAGTAAGCAGTGTTAGTTTTCCCTCTTAGGTTTTTTGAATTTAAGATATAAAGAGTAGGGCAACACATGATTTTCCCATTCTGATAAAAATGTTCTTGAGATAATGGTGGTCTTTTAATGGTCTCGACTACCAAAAGGGAGATGTTGTGGGTGTAACAGTGTAATTTCGGCTATATACTAAATGCATGTTTCCAGTCTATAGCTTAGCAAGGTAGAGAAAAATTGGAACAGGCTAGTAACAGCAATGGTTGAAGAGAAATGTCTTCCCTTTGCCAACAGGATATATACCTTCATGTGGAGATGGGAGCCTCTGTGAGTTTTGGAGACCTTAATCCCACTTGATAAGAAAAGGCTGTCATAGAATGGTAGTCCTGGGTTGTAAAATCTGTGTTTGGAAGTCCCAGGGATAGTAAAGATCAGGGCACCCTCATTGTTTTTATTTTGTAGAAGTTTGTAAGACACCATATGAATGCTGATTGCTCATTAAAAGCCATTGTAAATATTAGACATATTTCAGCTCTTAACTCCAACTAAAACAATATGAAATGCTATTTCCTTGACATATAATGTAAAATAATTACAGAGACAAAGTAAAGTATTAAAATTTTATTTTTAAAAATATTGTTTCTATTCAACAGGGAGGCAGTTCGTTACATCAACGAGAACCTGGTTATTAACTCAGATGAACTCGGCAGGGACTGCCTTATTAATGCAGCTAAAACAGCGATATCCTCTAAAATCATAGGAATGTATCCTTTCAGTTGATCACTACAAGTTAGGACATTGTTTCCACACAATATAAAGTATTTCAATGCCATATTTTAGAGGAAATTACTTTTTCTACACTTAAGAGGAAAATACATAAGGGATGGTTAGATGGTGGTGTCAAAGATATTAACTTCGAATATCTCTCTACAGAACTGACACCTGTAAAATGCTATTACTCTTTGCTACCGTTAAGATTTTTAAAAGATTTATAACATTTATAATGCGCATGCAGCATATATTGTCCTGTAACATGTGTCATTTTTACCTTAACAATATTCTTTTAGTGATAGTGATTTCTTTGCCAACATGGTAGTGGATGCTGCACTTGCAGTTAAATACACAGATCAAAAGGGACAAGCACATTATCCCATCAACTCCATAAATGTTTTAAAGGCACATGGTCGAAGTCAGAAAGAGAGCATTCTTGTAAATGGTTATGCATTAAACTGTGTCGTGGGCTCCCAAGGTAAGGTGAAAATCATATTTGCATTGCAGCATCAATTTCAGATTTGGATTAGAAGTTAGACAGGATATATTTATAATCATAAGAGTCTTATCTAACAGTTTTCCCTTCATAAAATAGCTGAAAAGAGCCTCAATGTTCTGTTTTTTAAAAAGGCACTGATTTAGTTAGCAAATTGAAACTTGATATCAGTGATCTCCTTATATTTAAATATTTTAGGTAGGTAACTCCAATCTAAAAACCTCTCACAGGATTAGTGTGATTTAGCTTAGCAGTCTTACAGATACATAGGCTTTCGGAAAATAGATAGGCTTAGGAAATGGTTTGATAGAAAGAAATAATAGTGCTAATTATCAATCTGAAATATTTCACATTTCTCAGTTAAAACTAAGGTGCAATTTAATAAAGAACCTTCCCTGTTGTGCTTTCTCTTCACTTTTTCTTTTAGGTATGCCTAAGAGAATAGTTAATGCAAAGATTGCCTGTCTTGACTTCAGCCTTCAAAAGGCAAAAATGAAACTTGGTGTTCAGGTGGTGGTCACAGACCCTGAAAAACTGGACCAGATTAGGCAAAGGTATACAAAATGTACTTTTGTTCTAAAAAGGTATAGAGTACATAGGCTACAGGCATTTGGTACAAACAGTGGTCACTGTTGCACTTCACGAAAACGAATATTGCTCATAGCCACTATATTATAGCTTGTTGGGTCTTGTAGTATTTTTCTCGGGGTTTTATTGTTTCATGTGTAATGGGGTTATTCTTATTAATTTAACCTTTTATGTTTTGTTGTATGTGTATTGTGTGGCAGTACTTGAGAGCATCCTGTGAGCCACCCCGAGTCCCTACAGGGAAATGGTGGCAGGATACAAATGAAGTTGTTGCTGCTGTTGTTGTTATTATTATATACGCAGTTAATGAGCTACATTTTTCTTCTAGTCAGGTATCAAAGCATTTTTTAAAAAATCCTGAATCTAAAGTATAGAATATGCTCATACTATGCATACATTTATATGTTCTTGAGAAGTACAGTTGGAGTTGGTTATAAATGAAAGTTAAATTTTTCCACAATAATGTAGGCCCACCTACAATCTGAGAAAGATGCAAGGCAGCTTATCCAGCACTCTTATAATGTAAATGACAAAATTCCAAAGAATCCTAATGGGACTTATTAGCCATTTCTTTGGAAGTGACTGCTAAGTTGCATAAAGAGCTCTAGCACTGATAGTTCAAAATTCAGACCACATATGTAGCCCTTCTCATTTGTATCACTTGCAAATTTGGTTCAAGCCTCTGCATTTCATTTAAAGATGCTCTAGGAACTGCAAGGAAGGAGAAAATCAAGCTTGATGGCAGGTGCTGATCTGTGAACCATTGGCTGCCAGTCTTTGCAGAGTTTCCAGGAAAGATTAATACAATCTTAGCTAATGGGCACAAGTATGGTATTGGTCCCTGGTGTCTTGGGGAGGGTATTTCTAAGCATCCACCTCTAAACAGCTTCATTTAATTACAGTGATTTAAAACCGAACTACTGTATTACTTCAATTCAAAGACACACTTCTTCCCCCTATAAACATGTCTAAAACCCGGGTGTGTCTTAAAATCACAGTTGATTTTCTATATATCTTTTTCTGTTGATGGTACTGAAATTAATGTGTGTCTTACAATCAGTGACATCTTAGAATCAATGAAATATGGTATTTTATTTCACTATATAGCTTTGCCACTAATTTCTAGTTTAGGTTTTTTTTTTAAAAAAAAAAAATGCACACCTCTTATCTCATGCAGAGAAGCTGATATCACTAAAGAGAGAATTCAGAAGATCCTGAGTACAGGAGCAAATGTTATTCTGACCACTGGCGGCATTGATGATATGTGTCTGAAGTATTTTGTAGATGCTGGTGCCATGGCAGTACGCAGAGTCCTAAAAAGAGACCTTAAACGCATTGCTAAGGCTTCTGGAGGTAATTACAGAAATTTTGAAAAATCTAATTTCTCAGTTACTTCTTCTTTGGATTCGAATGTTAAATATATGGTGAAATTCTTGATTAGAGAATATAATAAACTTTGGTTTTTATTTGTGAAACATATTAAAAGGTTAATTTTCTGTTTCATAAGCTACTGTTTGTCCTACACTGGCAAATCTGGAAGGGGAAGAAACATTTGAAGCTTCAATGTTGGGACAAGCGGAAGAGGTGATTCAGGAGAGGATCTGTGATGATGAATTGATTTTAATCAAAAAGTAAGGAAACGTCTGTTGTAAAGTATATCTCTGTTTCTTGGAAGTAATTTCCCATTTAGTGGTTGCCAGGCTATTGCTAAGCGGCATCAGCTATTATACGCATGGGATACATGATCCTCAGGCCCTGTAAAAATGTTGAGATAGTGATTGCTGTAGGACTTAGGACTCATCTACACTGCCATATAATGCAGTTTCAGAATGTTCCTTAATATCTACATGAGTGATTTCTTGTCAAAGTCACACACAATTAAATGGCTTTAAATGAAGTCTTGGTATTGAATTGTAGATAATTAATTCTGGGGGTATTCTCCCTTGTTTGTCTTCTTGAAACAGTACCAAGGCGAGGACCTCAGCCGCCATTATACTACGAGGAGCAAATGATTTCATGTGTGATGAAATGGAACGATCCTTACACGATGCTCTTTGTGTTGTCAAGAGAGTATTAGAGTCCAAGTCTGTGGTACCAGGAGGTGGTGCAGTTGAAGCAGCACTTTCCATTTACCTAGAAAATTATGCAACTAGCATGGTAAGTGTCTGGTTCAGGGGCCTCAAACCTTTTAAGCAGAAGGCCAGTTCACGGCCCATCAGACTGTAGTGGGGGTCAGAGTACAGTTTGAAAAAAACATGAACAAATCATATGCACACTGCACATCTTATTTGTGGTACAAAAATGAAATATTAATACCATATTTAAAATGTAGAACAATTAAAACTCATGCACTTGGCAGTATTTCCATGGGAAATGTGGGGCTGCTTCTGGCTGATGTGAGTCAAGTTAATTAGAATTTTGATGTGTGTGTGCCTTCAAGTAGTTTCAGACTTAGGGCGACCCTAGGCCTAAAGTTTAGGGTGGGAGCTGAGTAAATGACCTTGGAAGGCTGCATCCAGTCTCTTAGTGTTTGGCATGCACTGTTTCTGTGTTAATCTGATCTTCATCTCACTTTGATTATGCCAGTTCTGAACAACTATCATATTTATTATAAGCTGTCCTAAATTTTTGATTTCTAAGAATTGTTAAAATACTCAAAATAGACAAATATTTTATAAGGAATATGACCTACATTAACATTGTACTTTGGATGCATTTGGAACAAACCAATTATTGCCAATAATGTGTACAATAATGCAATTTTTCTGTTTAATTAGGGATCACGTGAACAGCTCGCTATTGCAGAATTTGCAAGATCTCTACTAGTTATTCCAAACACATTAGCAGTCAATGCTGCTCAAGATGCCATAGATCTTGTTGCAAAACTCAGGGCCTTTCACAATGAAGCTCAAGTGAATCCAGAACGTAAAAATTTGAAATGGTAAGTGAATACGCAAAACAATGGTGGGAACCCTAAGATCATGTGAATAATTTTTTTGACAGCTTACTGGTTGTGGGCTGTTTCAGGGTGTAATACAATGATCAAAAGCTTGCTGAGAAGAAAAGCGAGATTAATTTTATATTGTCTCAAATTTCAGATGTGCATTTCATGTCAGTTTGAAAATGGCTTTGCATGTGGACAGGTTGAAGGCATAATAATGTTGCTTTCTCTTTAAAGGATTGGTCTTGACTTAATCAATGGGAAGCCACGCGACAACAAGCAAGCTGGTGTTTATGAACCCACTGTGGTCAAAACAAAGAGTTTGAAGTTTGCAACAGAAGCGGCAATTACTATTCTTCGAATTGATGACCTTATTAAATTGCACCCTGAAAGTAAAGGTGATAAAGGAGGGTGCTATGAAGATGCTGTTCACTCTGGGGCAATTGAAGATTAAATGGCTGTTTATTTAACCATTCCTGTAAAATTCTTTGTACCCTTGTATTTAGTAATGTATGTTTGAGAAAAAAAGCTGTTGGACTCTTGCCTAACTAGAAAATAAATGAAAGATGGTCACATATTGTATTCTTGTTTGTGTTTCAAAGAGGTAGGCAGGAAGGAGGGCAGGAGGTGGGCAAAAGAAATAGGAAAGGGCTGCAATGGCTGTTCTTATAGCAACAAATTCTTCAGTCTGCCCTAGAGACCCACACACTACTTCAGGGAAAGAAGCCAAAAGCGCAGCCACTTCGCCATTTCCAGCAATGAAAGATTTGGCCACTGACTAAGGCTGACTTAATACTTGTCCCCAGCTTTTACTGTGTTCAAAAGGTACAATTAAAATCATGTAACATAGTAGTGGCAATAGCAAATAATCTGCAACAGTTTGACATCTGTAGATAAATGACTCATTCAGAACCAATATATAGAATGGTCCTGATGTGTTCATATATACACAAAAGCAAAAGGTGGGTGCTACAACTGATTTCCTTCAAAACTTGTCATGTTAATTGGCAGGTCTGGCACTACCTCTTTTAAGCTCTGAATGTGATAACAAGTGGAGGTGTGACTTATGCTGTGGTAAATATGTCCTGCCTGAGTTAAAGAAATTGAAAAGACATTTTATTGTGACGAGGTCCACATTGCTCTTAAAAAAAGGTTGCAATTCAGGCAAAATTCAGTACGACCATAATTCTTATAACATCCAAATTTTTTAAATGTCCTCCGTTTTTATTACTAAAAGCAATAAATGCTACAAATTCATACAGAAATAGTCCCTCCCTATCTTTCAATACACATAGCTATACCCATTCCCCCTCCTATACATAATGCAGCAACACCCCGTTTGCCACCTGTTCGTTCAAGCGCATATAAAAGTGTAACAAGGATTCGACAACCTGATGCTCCAAGAGGATGGCCAAGGGCAACAGCTCCACCTTGGATATTAACCTGTCACAAAAATAAAATGCTTTTATTAAGAATTACATCAACAGTTACACATTTCCCCCCACCCCCTGCCCCATTCATTCTTGTGCTAATTTCCAGAACAGGACTGAGGAATCTTGCCTTCTGCCTAGCCCTCGCAGAAGATTAGCTATGAAAGCAGCCTCCTGTCTTCATAGCTAATGCAAAAAGGTTTGTGACTGATGTGCACGGATATGTGGAGATTCCATCTGAACATTAGGAAGAACTTCCTGCCTGAGAGCTGTTCAGCAGTGGAACTCTCTGCCCCGGAGTGTGGTGGAGGCTCCTTTGGAGCCTTTTAAACAGAGGTGGGATGGCCATCTGTCAGGGGTGCTTTGAATGCGATTTTCCTGCTTCTTGGCAGGGGGTTGGACTGGATGGCCCGCAAGGTCTCTTTCAACTCTATGATTCTATGTCATGCAAGGAGAGGTGAACGTGGCCAATTTCCACAACCTGTAAACACACAGCCCCACAGAACATTTAAGAGACTGCCACTCCTGAAAGATTTCCTGGAGTATGCATAACTTTGAGTTGATAACAGTTAGCAGAACTACTGGCCAAATTGGCAGCCCACTCCCTACTGCAGTCACTGCCAATTGTACATTTTTCAATGCAGAGAACAAAAAAACCCAGAGAAGTTTGATACCCAGGATGTTTGTGGCAGGAGACGAAGACAATTCTTGTTCTGCTGAGATCAGATATTGAAGTACTATGTTGGCACTTACCATTTGAAAGGAGATCCTCATTATTATGTATCAGTTATTAGCTGCCTCTCCCAACAGCCAAATGGAGGTTGGGAGAACTTTGGTCCTTGTAGCTGCTTTAGTGTATGACTACTCAAGACCATCTAGCCTGGCCAATGGTGTGGATTTTGGAATTTTAGGAGAAACGAGTTGTGCCCTGTTCTTTACAATATGCACTGACCCATTTTAGGTCTAAGAATATATGAATTATTTTGAACATTGTCTTTCCCATCTTTAAAAAAGGCTGGCTACAATCTCGCAGGACACCACTTTAACATGGAAACAGTTGTTGCATTGTTAGATGGTTCCATTATCCAAGATACTAAGGTAACAAAAAAGGTGGGACATACCTTCTCTGGGTTCAATTTCAGGTCCTTTATTATTCCAAGACTGACGGAAGAAAAGGCTTCATTGATTTCATACAAATCTACGTCGTCCACTGTCCAACCTGCTTTTTCAAGCTAAAGGATAGAAAGAGGTAATTAAAGTGATAAGTTGAACCCTGCCATGTTTTCTGATTCTTACTGATGCACATTTGAAAGCCTACAAAAGTATTCATAATAGCAAAGAATTTTCTGGCTCACTACATGAATTAAAATGTTTAGTTAGAAAAACATGAAATGTATTTGAAATCATAATTAAACAAATTATATTAGAACACAAGAGTATTATAAGCACATCAGAAAGAAAGTTCATAGCCCCTCTTTTCAAAGCAACTACTCAAAGTGCCAAAATTCTGCTTGAATAAGGTATTTGTTGATAAAGTATATCAAGTCTTTGCCTATTACCTTGTAAGTCAAAGAACAAAAGCTATCTTGTGTATGTATGTGTCTTCAAGTTGCTTGTCTGTTTATGACAATGCCGTCAATCCATTTGTGACTTGCACCACAGTGATGAAGCACATGTTTTGCATTCAAAAGATTCCAGTTGTCTGCAGTCAAGTGCCAGAAAAAATACTGTCTGAACCCTGCAGAGCTTCTGCCAGCATATTCAAAGAGCCCTACACTGGATGGACTAATGCTCAAACTTGATAGACAGCAGCTAGTTTTCTTGCTATGGAACACATCATTCACCATACTCGTGAGACCCTACATTTTCAATTTTTGCATATAAGCAGTGCATTTTACAAATAAGCAGCCTCCGGTGGCGCAGAAGGTTAAACCGCTGAACTGCAGAACTTGCTGACTGAAAGGTCAGTGGTCCAAATCCGGGGAGTGGGGTGAGCTCCTGCTGTTAGCCCGAGCTCCTGCCAACCTAACAGTTTAAAAACATGCAAGTATGAGTAGACCAATAGATACCACTCCGGCAGGAAGGTAACAATGTTCTATGTAGTCATACTGGCCAGATGACTTTGGAGGTGTCTACGGACAATGGCTTAGAAATGAAGATGAGCACCACACCCAGTCTAGTCGAACAAAACTAGACTTAATGTCAGGGGAAACATTTACTTTTTATGTTGTTCATTTAATAATGAAAATAATAATAACAACCGGGGTTTGCTGAACACCCAACAATACAGTACGATATTATAAAGCAGACATGGGCAAACTCTGGCCCTCCCACAATTCCAAACAGCCAGTAGACTAAATCCAAAACACCTGGAGGGCCAAAGTTTGCCCATGCCTATTATAAAGGACCAACTTGTTTTGTTGGACATAATTTTTTTTGTTGTGTCAGGAGCAACTTGAGAAACTGCAAGTCGCTTCTGGTGTGAGATAATTGGCCGTCTGCAAGAATGTTGCCCAGGGGATGCCCAGATGTTTTGATGTTTTACCATCCTTGTGGGAGGCTTCTCTAATGTCCCCGCAATAGGGAGCTGGAGCTGATAGAGGGAGCTCATCCATGCTCTCCCTGGATTCAAACCTGCAAGCTGTTGGTCTTCAGTCCTGCCGACACAGGGGTTTAACCCACTGCGCCCCCCGGGGGCTCTTGTTGGACAGAATGAGTGTCATGCAGTGCCCAGGTATCAGAACATTTGTTTCAGACAAGGTTACTGATTCCAATAAGATTACTTACAGCTTTTTTAATGGCTGGGACAGGTCCAATCCCCATTACAGAAGGATCTACCCCAGCTTGTGCCCAGGAGACAATCTGTGCCAAGGGAGACAAGCCTCGTTTAACAGCTTCTGCTTTCTTCATAAGAATTACAGTTGCAGCACCATCATTTATACCTGGAAAATGAACAACCATTTTTGCCTTAAAGCATGGAACACATGGGTTGAAGATATCCTCCGGGCAGCAGAGAAAGAACACTGTGGGTTCTCATAACAATTTGATTTTATTCAGTGAATACAGAGTATTCTTGGATGGCTTGTTCCTCTCACTCCAGTAAACATGAATACATTCAAGAGTACTACTGCAAGTGGGAGGAAAACGCAAGGAAGCTCTTCTTCTCTTTACGAAAGATGTGAAGGTCTACATCAGTGGTTCTCAACCTGTGGGTCTCCAGATGTTTTGGCCTCCAGATGTGTTGGTAAACTGGCTGGGATTTCTGGGAGTTGTAGGCCAAAATACCTGGGGTTGAGAACCGCTGTTCTACAGAAATACCACAGTGTACTGTTTTCCCATTTATTTATTTATTTTCTTGATGTTAACTGCCTCCAAGTCATGTTGACTTATGCTGATCCCATAAATGAGAGATCTCAAGTTACTCTGTCCTCAACAGAGAGAGGCAAAATATGTCCTTACTGGAAGAGAAGAAAAAATAGAAGAGACAATGGAGGAGACCGCATGGTCAACTCAAAGGCAAAAAACTTAAGGAGGAAGTTCCCTCGCAGAATTCAATTGCTACATCATCAAAGGGGGAGGAGACAGTGGCAAGGAGGAAGAGTAAAGCTCTTTCTGGGAAAACATGTATAGGAATGTGGGGGAGGAATCCCACAGCCTGATCCTATCTCTATTCTAGCTACTCATTGAGGTCTGGAAACTTGATGACATGAGAGAATTTTTTCAGTCCATGGATGAACCCAACAAAGATGAACTCTTTCTTAGGCCCCTTCCACACAGCTATATAAAATCCCACATTTCCTGCTTTGAACTGGAATATATGACAGTGTAGACTCAGATAACCCAGTTCAAAGCAGATATTGTGAGATTTCCTGTCTTGATATCTAGGTTATAGGGCTGTATAGAAAGGCCCTTAGTTACAAAGGCCACAATCAGAAACAGATTTAACTGAAGTGATATGCAACAAACTAAAAGCGCACAAGAGAAATATCCAAAAGACGGCCTTGGTTACTTTACATCTCAATAATAATAACCTTTATTGGTGTATCTCCATACATTCTATTATTGTTAAACCACACTTCCTACTGTGGTAATGTTTCTAAGGTTTGACAGGAGCCTAAGGAAAAATATGCAAAGGAAAAGGAAAGGTTAGTGCGCACAGGTATCCACACTCAGAATAATTTGTTGAACGTATGAAGATGTAGAAAAACTCCAATATTTCTCAAAAACTGTACAAGCAAAAAAAAAAAAGGTTCATTAGACAATAACTAATGAACTTGGAAAGGCTCCTTAGCCCAAACCACCTACATATTTTCATCAGAGTTAAGAGAAGGTCAAATTCCCAGAATCTTCCACTCAGGGCTGTAGGCTGGGCGATTCCAAGAACTGGAGTTCAAACATAACTTTTCACAGTTCTGATTTCAAAGCATTTTCAGTGATTAGAGGGCACAAACACACTCTTATTTACAAGGATAGAAAGGCTTTAAACTACCCCTTTGCTTTCATAAATGCTTTAGATCTCTCTATGATAATTTGTGGTTTACAGATATTTCTCCAGGATACTGTACATTATACTGTTCTTTATTTTTCAGCTGAAGAAGAGACATTTTGAACGTCTCATCTGTCTCTTTTTCACTACCCAGCTAAAAAAAATATTACTTTTTTCAGTTATTGTTTGTACCTCAAGTAATACACATTTAGTCTGTACACATTGGCCTAACTGTAAATGCTAACTCCAACTAAAGTTTAGTCGTTACATTGAATTATTGGGAGTTAATTAAGCATTGACTTTCCAGTAATCTACTCATTGGGAGTAAGACATTAATTTAAACCATGATTTTACAGCCTTACATAAACTGACCTGACGCATTGCCTGCAGTTACAGTTCCTGTCCCATCAGTCACAAATGATGGCTTCAGCTTTCTAACTGCTTCCAAGTTGCTACCATGGCGAGGATGCTCATCTGCTTTAACCTCTATAGGACCTGCAAAGCAGAAAATATTTTATCAGTGACCATTTTTATTTGACAAAGGCCCCTTCTACACTGCCATATAATCCAGATTGCAAAAGAAAAATAATCCACATTATCTACTTTGAATTGGATTATATGAGTCTACGCTGACATACAATCTAGTTCAAAATGGAGAATCTGGATTTTATATGGCAATGTAGAAGGGATCAAAGATGTTTCAATGAGATAATTCAATGTCATTTTTGAAATCACTATTTTGTACATTTTCAGCTTTCACAGGGATTATGGATTCTGGGCTTCCATGGAAGTTGCTAAACTGCACATTTCAAAAACATTATTTATTAAAACTTAAGAGAACATGTCTCTAAATCCTCCAGAGTGACTCTATGGTCAAATTATAATGGAATAATTGCAGAGGAGCTAGACATTCCTAGAGAAGGATGACTGCATATTCAGCTTCTTGCATAACCTGACCACAGAATTGCCGCAGAAAACCTAGATCAGTGGTTCCCAACCTTTTTTTTTGACCAGCGACCACTTGATCAGGGACCATTTTGACCAGGGACTACTCTCCAACATTAGTACCAAAAGGGCTATGAATCAGGTTTTGGTCAACTTTAGATTCAGTTTGGTTATTTGGGGTGCTGATTCAGAAAATTGCATTGGATAGACCACATCAGGTCTCATTTCTGATACAGAACATATGCCACCCAGTAGTCACTATCTGCTTGCCCACAGAAAACTATATTTAATGAGCCTCGACACTATTAGAGGGTTCTGCGAGACCAGTCGTTCTTGTTCTTGTTGCAACAGTGTAGTAAAGGTGAGGCTGTGGACCATATTTTAGTTCTTGGGGACCACTGATGGCTCATGGACTACAGGTTACGAACCACTGACCTACAGAGAAGATTTTAATCAAATCTGTAAATCATCAAATATCCAAAAGTTAAACCCACAAATGAAGTGGGCTGACCTACTCTCTTCCTACTCTCTCTCTCTCTCTATATATATATGCTCAGTAAAAGCTAAGGCCATCAAACATAGGAGGCACCACCCATCAGGCAGATGGGCTTTAGTATCCTTGATAGCATAATAGCTAAATTGAATGACTGTCCAATGGCACAGAAAGGGTTAATCAGTATCTCATATGCTTGCTAGATACTGCCGTTTTGGCTTGGCAGTTCAAAGCTGGGGATTGCTGGGGAAGAAGACTTTCTGTCTTGGAATCTGCTTACATTGTTCTCAGAGTTATTGGAATAGATACTGGGTTTCACCTAAGCGTTTTGATTTTCATTGTTTTCTTCTAAATTATATAATCTCTGAAAATCCATCTTCCAGGAAACTCACTTACTGGGAGGAGGGATGCTCATCTGGGGGACTCTTTTTTGCCACTCATAGGAAATGGGAGTGTTCATAATAACTGGGACAATTCAACTACTTCATGGTCACCTAAAAGCTTGGAATGCACTCTCTGTTATAGACAGAAATGCAGGGTGGAAAAATCTTTCATTTACAGTTTTCAACTTAAACATTTCCATAGGATATATTTACGGTATCCTTTTACGGAAATTCCAACTGGTCCAACAGGCAGCGGCCAGGTTGTTAACTGGTGCTCCTTACACAGAGAGATCAACCCTCCTGTTTAAGGAGCTCCATTGCCTGCCGTTCATTTTCCGGTCCCAATTCAAGGTGCAGGTGCTCACCTACAAAGCCCTAAATGGTTTGGGACCCGCCTACCTGCGTGACCGCATCTCCATATATGAACCCACACGATCCCTTCGTTCATCTGGAGAGGCCCTGCTCACGATTCCACCTGCGTCGCAAGCGCATTTGGTGGGGACGAGGGACAGGGCCTTCTCTGTAGTAGCCCCGACTCTGGAACTCTCTCCCCAAGGACATCAGACAAGCCCCAACATTGGCAGTCTTTAGGAAGAGCTTGAAGACCTGGCTGTTCCAGTGTGCCTTTCCAGAATAGAAAACTCCCAGCATCATGTCCCAAACACACTTTATTAGAGATTTAAGATTTGTCTGCACATCGCACCTACTACAAAATCCTTACATTTCACCTGTCATGTCCAGTACTTTTAATCTTATTCATTGCATTTGGCCCAGCCCTTAGTTTTTTAAATGTGTCACGATGTTATTGTTTAATGTTTACTGTTATTGCTTTAATGTTTATTGATTTGCTTTTTGAGTTTTATCATTGTTTTTATTATGCTGTTGTTTTATTGAGGGCCTTGGCCTTTGTAAGCCGCACCGAGTCCTTCGGGAGATGGTAGCGGGGTACAAATAAAGATAATAATAATAATAATAATAATAATAATAATAATAATAATAATAATTTAATGTTTACTCAGAGCCTGTAGTGCAATCAATCCTTGAATGCCCAACTAACTGGGATAAAATCAAATTTTTCTGAGTTCAAAACAGGTCTGATAAATATTGCAGAGTGTGTGTGAGGTGAAGCTTAAGGTGCTATAGCTAAGCCACTTAAGCTGAGGAAAAGCTTTCTTTAGATCTGTCCTAAAAAAACCCAATTTTTAAAGGTGTACTGTATATATTCGAGTATAAGCTGAGTTTTTCTGCCCTTTTTTTAGGGTGAACCCCCCCCCCCTTGGCTTATACTCGAGTCAAGGTTATTTATTATTTTACTCTTTTATTGTTATTGTTGCTACTGCTGCTGCTGCTGTTGTTGTTATTATTATTATTATATTACATTTATTATTTTACTCTATTATTATTATTGCATTTATTATTTTACTCCATTTATTATTATTATTACATTAATTATCTTATTATCTCTTTATTTTTATTGGAAGGACATATAAGCACATTTACACTGAGGAAGGCTAGAATAATGGTTTAATAAGAGTTTGACAGTCTTATCTTAAATTACAGTGTTATGTAAATTTTCAAAAACTTTTCACCTACTGATGCCTCAATTAATGTAATTTTATTGGTATTTATTTTTATTTTGAAATTTACTAGTAGCTGCTGCATTTCCCACCCTTGGCTTATACTAGAGTTAACACGTTTTCCCAGTTTTCTGTGGTAAAATTAGGTGCCCTGGCTTATATTTGGGTTAGCTTATACTCAAGTATATACAGTACTTCCCCCCCAAAAATATAGGAAAATGTCAGCTATATAGGCTACATTATTACAAACATTTGAAGTAAACATTCCACATAAAGTTCTGAATGTGTTTTGAATATACCACTTAAACTAAACATGTCAAGTAAAGAAATTATTATTAGTCAAAGCATTTTCTCAACAACAACAAAATCCAATTTTACTTTTTCCAGGAAATGCACATCACTGATTATAGACATTGGGAGGCTTGGATCGTAGCCACATCTGGCTAAGAACATCTGCTTGTGTGTACATGGCTGATCTGTGCATGCAAAAAGCACACAGGCGAAACTGTCCTTCCAAGAATTGCAGAATGTGCCATACCCATTAGGACCATATGCTATCTCTTTAATTATTCTGGGACTCATAACCTCTCCAAGCCCCTTCGATCACCCTTTTCATTCGGATGAAGGGTACATGAGAGTGAACTGCCGTTCATGAAAGTTTCCAGAAGTGGCATGTCATTTACAGATTTGGTTTATATGGAATAATCCATGCACCCTTGAAGGATTCTTAAGACTGTCCCTCAGATCTGCCACCATTGCTCATGGATTAAACCCTGCTTAGAGTTCTGATCTACAACCACTACAACCACTACTGGTGAAGCACACTACTGGTGAAGCATCTATGCTACTTTAACAAAAAGTCCCTCTTTTTAATGAGGACTGGTCATTTTTTGAAATAATGAAAAAGTTTTACAGCATGGCAAAACATAAAAACTCATTGTCTAAGATCAGAAACTGCTTCAGAAGAGAAGATGGTATAAAGAATGGGTAGTTAGATTATGAAAGTATGACTTTGGAAGACCCTAAATATTTCAGGACCTCCTGTCCCCATACACAAGTTTGCCGTAAGGTTGGATAGTGCTAGTTTCAGCATTTTTCTTCATTCAGAAGAGTAACAACTAAGTCCTTAAATTTAGAGAGGAGGTCAGAACAGGGCTAAGACCCCATCCTTTCCTACATACTATTATTAGAGAGGAGAAACTGTTGCAAAAACAAATGGAAATGGATAAAATGGATATTAGGAAGTCCATTTCTCTCCAGTAAAATCATTGCTATATTAAATCATACCTTTCCTGGAAGGCACAGAAATAGGTATCATTTCTTTATCGAAATAGCCAGCCTTCTGCGCATGTTCAGCTCTGTTCTGTGACTTCACAGCCAGTTGGTCTTGTTCCTCTCGACTGACATTCCACTGTTTGGCCACATTTTCAGCTGGAACAAGAAATACATATATAAACACGCACACAACGAAGAGCAGACTCTTCACACAATGCTTCTGCTGAGGGGGAAACGAAGCAAGAATTATGTGTATTGAACAACATATTCATGCAAAATATATTTGTACGACGATTTAAACTCTTTTTTTCATTGCCACTGTTGAAGTAAGGATTACTATTTGTGATCACTGTTCAATAAAACCAATTGTCTAAAAAGATGGTGTGGTCTCCTTTCTCTGGACTGCTTCAAAGAGGCTGGACAGCTAATCTGGTGGGGTTGTTTTAAAATAGTGATTCTCAACCTGTGGGTCCCCAGATGTTTTGGCCTTCAACTCCCAGTAATCCTAACAGCTGGTAAACAGGCTGGGATTTCTGGGAGTTGGAGGCCAAAACAACTGGGGGCCCACAGGTTGAGAACCACTGTTAAGATAAAAATCCAGCTCTGAGCAGTGGGTTGAATATGATGGTTCATTAGGCGCCTTCCAACCATATGATTCTATTTGAATTGTTTTGTATTTTGGTTCCCTCTCTAATGATTGGACCCCAGTTCTAGTCCAATGCTCAACCATGCTGGCTTTCCAACAACACCCCATTCATCTGTTAAAATGAGTGGTGATCCATGAAATCTATTGGCGTCTAAGGCCCCTCAAGACTAATTATATTTTTCATGTCACTGCCTGCATAGATCTGTGCTCAAAAGGCAGATTTTTAGGGAATATATCATCCACAATCTCCAATGTTTATTTACTCATGTTCCTTTGAGACATATTATTGTTGGAGGAAAGTTCTGAGAGTGCCTTGGACTGCGAGAAGATCCAACCAGTCCATCCTCCAGGAAATAAAGCCCGACTGCTCACTGGAGGGAAAGATACTAGAGACAAAGTTGAAGTACTTTGGCCACATCATGAGGAGACAGGAAAGCCTAGAGAAAACAATTATGCTGGGGAAAGTGGAAGGCAAAAGGAAGAGGGGCCGACCAAGGGCAAGATGGATGGATGGCATCCTTGAAGTGACTGGACTGACCTTGAGGGAGCTGGGGGTGGTAACGGCCGACAGGGAGCTCTGGCGTGGGCTGGTCCATGAGGTCATGAAGAGTCGGAGACGACTGAACGAATGAACAACATTGTTAGACAAACCTTCTTGCTCATCTACATATTAAGCAACAATTCTTAAAATGACAATGTCCTGGATTTCTTGAACATGTTACTTTCAAAAATCTTGTCTCTTACCAGTTATGCCCATATGGTAACGATAAAAGGCATCCGTCAAACCATCATGGATTATGCTATCTTGCAAAGAGGTTTCCCCCATCTTTACACCGGCACGCATGTGAATGAGATGTGGTGCCTGCAAGCAAAGCATTTTGAAATATATAGAATTCTGAGATGATATTTCTTGGCAGCCTTTGTGTATCAGATGCAAGCTTGAATACATCCTTTGTTTGCATGTGTAGTCGTATTGTTTATTGCCCCGAACAGGCAAGGTAAACAATTGTTGACCCCAGAATCCCCTCCTGAGCATGTATGAAGATCACAACAAACAAACAAAAGGGGGGAGGGGGCAGATTAGACTACCTCATCAGTTTCTGCACTCCACCCCGATATGGTAAAAACCTACTTAGAAGTTTTCTAATGGTTTCTAGAAGGATCAAAATGTTTCTGTTCACTTATGCAAAGCTGCTCTGACCTGGTACTTTTATCTCACATATGCACATTATTATTTTTGAGTAAAAGATAAATAAAACATGTCAAAACATTCTTTTTTGTTCAGTGTAGGAATCCATCCATACTTTTCCCATATTATTTCTGTCTCTGTGACCAATTTTTTTGTTAAAAAAGTCATATTCAGGAACATATCTACTTTGTTAACTGAGGCATAGAGAGAAAGGAAGAAACATGCCAAGAGGAAGGCACATCAAGAAAACCCTTGTTGTTACCTTCTCCTGTATGGCAGTTGGGAATGAATCTGTTTCTTGTCTCCTCTCTGTTTCTACTATCATTCTGATTGGTTGCGTAGAACGGATACTTTTCTACTGCAAGCCTTTATTTTAATATCTGTTTCTTACATCTGAGTATGTGCTGTGTGCTTTGAGATCTCTCTCTGCGTATGTGTCAGAGAGATGTAGCGATTGGTGTTTTTTCCTCTCTTTAAAACCTTAGAAGAGATGGGTATTAGAATAGCTCAGACTCAGTTCTTTACCATGAATAAATGTAGTTAGTTCTTATTATTGTAAAAATTGAGCATCAGCTCATTAGCGAGTGGAGTGTGAAGTGCCATTGGTTCTGGTTGTAAAAAATTTAGAGCATAGACAGGCGAAGATGCAGAGTCCAATCTTAAAAATCACAAAAGGTTTATTATTGTAAATAAACCTTTTGTGATTTTTAAGATTGGACTCTGCATCTTCGCCTGTCTATGCTCTAAATTTTTTACAACCAGAACCAATGACACTTCACACTCCACTCGCTAATGAGCTGATGCTCAATTTTTAGTATCCTGTTTGATTTTTGGATGCTCTGCTGTATTTTAGGGTGGTTTACCCTAACACATACTTGGCCATGAGCGATTGCCCATGATGATGTAGTAACCAAATAAACTGAAAAGCAACCCAGATATGACCAAGAAATTACGACTGGTAAAGTAAATTTCCCTGGTAGAACCAGTCAGGCTCAGGCTTGTTGCATTGAGATTCTACTGCAAGTTAGATTATGCTACAGGTGCGGTCCAAGCTTTTCTGTTTTCACCATGCCTGTTTCTTGAAAAAAAGAATAAACCCAAGAGATCAAGTAACGTTCACCTTGCTCATGTTTTCCATGCCTCCAGCCACAACAATGCTGGAGTCTCCTATCATAATGGATTGGGCCCCAAGGCACACTGCCTTTAGGCCTGAACCACAGATCATTTGGCATGTCCAGGCTGGAACCTCATATGGAATCCCTGCAGCGACACTTGCCTGTCGAACCGGATTCTGACCAGCACCTGTAGAAGAAAAATGGACTCAGGATTTTTAGAAAAAAACAAGACCAAGCTGGCTGTCCTCCATCCCTCTTATTAAAGTTTTGCCTTTATGGAAATGCAAAGTGAGATGAAGACATGATCTATGGCTGCTAACGCTGTTAACATCCAGTTCTGTTCTTGTGTGGTAATGTTAGTAACTAGCTGTTTCTTCCAGAGCCAAATGTTGCTTTGGTAGAAATGTTTGCGTCACTCTGGATTTCAACACCTGCACTTTGGTTACTCAAGTGACCTTTAATCTAAAGTTTCTGGGTGGCCCTTCTTTACCTTTGGGATGTGCCACAAAATTGATACAGGTTGAACTTTGTTGAAACCTTCAGTCACACTAAATAACCCCTTTATCTTCTTTTAGCAGTTTGAGACCAAGCTAATAATTAGAAATACAGGACTCTCTTCAGTTTTAAGGTTAGTTGGAAAAAAGCCAACATCTCAGGCCCTGTTCTTACTATGGTCATTCTAGTAAGAGCTATAAAATGGCAAATGCCAAGCAAAGAAACTTATCTGTTGCAGCACAACCTTTCCGAAATGCCCACCTCAGCAAATACATGTAGTCCTCACTATGCTAGCATGCAAATAAGGTCTAAATATACAATTATTCCACTCTGTATTTGATTGATTTAGTTTAGTGTACTTTTAACTGAACTGCTATCTTTTAAATTTTAATCATTTACATAACAACTCAGCTATTTCCAGATTAGTTTTTTTTCCTTGCAGGCAACCATGCATGGAAGAACAAATGGGGGTTGCTTTACCTTTTATAAAATAGTAGCATTGAAGAGATTTGCTAACTATTCAACTTTTCCTTTTACTCCTGCTGTCCAAATATGTTTGCCATGCAGTCTAGAGACGATAATTCACGTCTTATAAAATGGGAAAATTGAGGAAATTAAGCAAACTATGTAACTTGTCTTATTCTGCTGTGTCAGCTGGAGATGATGGGACATGTCTTTAAACAGATCTGGGTGGCTTGGGACGTCTAGGAACCCTTTCATACTAATAAATTATGGTGCTATGATGATATTGTAATTATCATGATCCCATCCTATGAAATCCTGGGACTTGTAGTTTAGGGAAGAGCATTTAACATTCAGCCGGAGAACTCTAATGCTTCAACAAACTACAAACACCAGGATTCCATAGGATATAGCCATAGTAATCAAAAGTGGAACAATAGCGCCAAAATTATGTAATGTGAAAAGGGTTAGGTAAAGGGTAGAACAAAACAGAACTGCGGATAATAGTGTAATGGAGAACAAATAGAGAAGGCAGAAATGTATAAGGGAATGGTACTGTTGAGAAATGTTACATTCCTAAACTTGGCATAAATTGTGTCTATCAGATGGGAAGGAAGGGATGGCTATCAGAAAATAGGGTAGACTGATGGGATACAGCAGGCATGGGAACTATGAATCTGTCTAAATATTGTTACTTTGCAACTCCCAGCATCCCCAGCCAGCAGGATCAATGGTAAGGAATAAATAAATAAATAAATAAATAGTAGTAGTAGTAGTAGTAGCAGTAGTAGTAGTAATAATAATAATAATAATAATAATAATAATAATAAAGCTTTATTTCTAGATAGCCCTCCCTCCCCAAAGGACTCAGTGAGGTTTCCACACACACAAAGGTAAGCATTCAATGCCTCAGGTAAGTATAAACGTATCAAAATAATAAACAATAAAGCAACAGTAATAACAGTGATCTTACAATGAAGAATTAAACATTGTGATGAGAAATAAAACAAAACTATCCAATATGACATAATTAACTAAAACAAAGTAAACACTACAACCAACATCCTAAAAACAATTTAAAATAGTTACATTATAAATGGCTGGGGCTGATGTTTATTTAAAATGTATCATAGCAGCCATATAGTACAAGTGGGACTAGCCAAGTGTTTAAGGTGTCTTGGTCCTCCTCCTCTCCATATGCTAAAGTGCATAGGTGCATTTTTAGAAGTTTCTTAAAGGAGAGGAGGGTAAGGGCCATTAAATGCTAATCAAGGTGGCCCATTGCAACATTCACACTTGCCTCAAGCAGACAAGAGTTCTTTCTCCCACCCTGGACCTTCCACAGACATTTTTTAAAATTGTTTTATTGGTTTTTCCCCCACTCCCACCCTCCCCTCCTTGTACATACAATTTATACATCAAACTACAGAAGTTACATTTGAAATATCAGTCTCAGTCTTATTTTTTCTACTTCACATCTGCCTTCCACAAATATATAACCCTCACTTGCCTAGATTCCAAAAGATCTCACAACCTCTGAGGATGCCTGCCATAGACAGGAGAGAATGCTTCTGGAACATGGCCATACAGCCCGGAAAACTCACAGAACCCAGTGATTCTAGCCATGAAAGCCTTAGACATCACATATAAACGCACCCTTCATTGATGCATTCCAACAATTCTAAAGTGATTATGACTGAAAACCTGAAACAATGGATTCTTCAGAGACATACCTGCAGCCAAGACTTGTCCAAATATAACCTCGGACACTTCGCTGGGATTAATGTTTGCCCTCTGCAAGGATTCCTTAATAACTACAGAAGCCAACTCATGGGCATGCAAAGTGGACAAGGCCCCATTGAAGGATCCTAGAGAAAACACAAGTGACGTTTTCAGACGAGTCACAAGCATACTGTAATTCTAATTATTTAACTCATGTTAGAAAAATCATCCTGACTCCGAACGCTAGCAAAACATACATGTGCAAGTAACATTTGTGCAGTACCGTGCATTGTATTCCCCAATAAATCTGTGTACACAGGTGTATATGATGTTCATTCACTATAATCTGTTATACAATGACTTGCAACCAAGTCCCAATTCAATTACTTATTCCTAAATAAAGATTATAAGACAGAATTTTTTAACACCAAGTGTAAACACAAAAGACATTATTGCTTAAAGAATACACACAAATAATGAGGTCACACTGGTTAAGAAAGAGTTTTGAAAGCAACCTTGGTCTTTGCTCCATTACCTTATGCAATACCTTAGTACATTTCATACTATTGATACAAAGATATCACAAACCACCTTGAAGTGAATACACCTTGATTAATTTGCACAGAGCAGATTTCCACATCTGGCAAATTTACATATTTATTAGTTTCACTGGCCTTTTCTGTGAAAACGTAAAAGGAGAGAGATGCATTAAAAGGAGAAATTTTCCTTAAAGGGAACAGGCAACTTCTCTGCAGCACCCAAGGAAAGGCTATATAATTGTTATCAAAGGCGGGAGGGCTCTAAGCATAGTCAGTGGTATTTTATTTATTTATCTATCAGGAGCAAATCAAGGGTGCAGTTGTAATGCATTTTTTAAAACAAAACAAACCACAGTTTAGAAACTTGATATTATATTACATGTCCTTTGACCAGAAGCTCGCCACTTGGGAGTGCTTCTGGTGTTGATATAAGAAGGTCCTCCACTGTGCATGTGGCTGGGCTCAGGCTGCATTATAATAGGTGGTCTCTGGTTTGCTCTTCTCCACACTTGCATGTTGTGGACTCCACTTTGTGGCCCCATTTCTTAAAGTTGGCTCTGCATCTCATGGTACCAGAGCGCAATCTGTTCAGTGCCTTCCAAGTCACCCAGTCTTCTGTGTTCCCTAGGAGGGAGTCTCTCATTTGGTATCAGCCATAGCTTGAGGCTCAAGGTTTTAGCTTGCCACTTTTGGACTCTTGCTTGCTGAGGTGTTCCTGAGGGTATCCCTGTAGATCTTCAAAAACTATTTCTTGATTTAAGGCGTTGGCATGTTGGCCGATATCTGAACAGGGGATGGGCCAGAGATGTCACTGCTTGGTCCTTTTATTATTGGCTGCTACTTCCCGGCAGATGTCAGGTGGTGCAATACCAGCTAAACAGTGTAATTTCTCCAGTGGTGTATGGCGCAGACATCCTGTGATAATGCGACATGTTTCATTAAGAGCTACATCCATTGTTTTAGCATGGTGAGATGTGTTCCACACTAGGCATGCGTACTCAGCAGCAGAGTAGCAAAGCGCAAGGGCAGATGTCTTCGCTGTGGTCACCAGAAGCGACCAAATACTCAGAGGTAATATTCCAAAGTATCAGGATTACATAAAATCAGAAGCTACCTTTATAGTATCTCTCTATGTGAAACAAGTGCTGGCTTCCGCTTCCTTCTTAAATGAAAGGTTATTATAGAATCATAAATTTAGAAGACGTCCAATGGGACATTTAGTTCCACTCTTCTGCTCAACACAGGATCTCCAGCGAAGGCACCCCCAGCAGGTAGCTGCCTGGCCTCTTTTGGAAGTCGTTCAGAAAAGGAAATCCCACCATCCCTCTCATCAATTAGTTCCATTGCTGAACTGCTCTCGCTGGTTGGCTTTATACCAGGCATGGGCAAACTTTCTAATTTGGGGGCCGCATGGTGGGCTGGGGTGGGGTGTGTGGGCTGGGAGGGAGGAGGTCCTCCCCAAGTCCCCTCCCTGCCCTTTTCTCCCCTTCCTCAAAAGGGTTGGTCTTGGTCAGGATGAGATGGTAGACAGGAGAGAAAAAGTGTATCCATGAGAACCCGTATTTGCCTAATCGTGATATAGACTGCTAGACTCCTAGAGCTGGATGAGACTCCCAAGGGACATCCAGTCCAACCCCCTGCCGTGCAGGAAGGCACAATCAAAGCACTCCCGATAGACAGCCTATGTGGAAAAGTCTCTAGAGAAGGAGACTCCACCACACTTCAAGGCAGCCTATGCCACTCTCCAGGAAGTTCTTCCTAATCTTTTCAGTCGAATCTCTTTCCCTGCCATTTGAATCCATTGCTCCCTTGTGCCCTGGTCTCTAGAGCAGCAGAAAGTCAGTCCACCCCCCCCCCTCCTCAATAAGGCACCCTTTGAAATCTTGAAACATGGTTCTCATGTTCCTGCTTTACCTTCTCTTCTCCCAGCTAAATATCTCCCAGGAGGAAGGAAAAAGAGAAGGAAGAAAAGAAGGAAGGAAGGAAGGAAGGAAGGAAGGAAGGAAGGAAGGAAGGAAGGAAGGGTGGAAGGCAATGAAGGGAGAGAGAAAAGAGAGAAGGAAAGAAAGACAAAAGGGAAGGGAAGAAGGAGAGAGAGAAGGGGGGAGGAAAGAGGGAAGGAAGGACGAAATGGTGGAAAGGAAGGAGGRAGGGAGAAAGAGTAAGGTAAGGAGGGAAGGAAAGAGAGAAGGAAGGATAAGATGGTGAGAGAGAGAGAAGGGCCTGAGAAAAGAGTCCAAGGGGCCGCATCCAGCCCCCAGTATTCTACACTGTAGAATAAATACAGTTTGACACCACTTTGAACCTGCATGGCCCAAGGCTAGGGAATTCTGAGATTTGTAGCTTGGTGAAGCAGCAGCATTCTTTGGCAGAGAAGGCTAAACATCTTGTAAAACTACAACTCCCACAATTCCATAGCACTGAGCCCTGGCATTTAAAATGGTATTTTACAGCATTCATTCTATAATGGAGATGCACCAACTGTCTAGGCCCAGTATGGATAACCTGTATGCCTCAAGGTGTTTTGCTTGTCCATCTGATAAACTAGCTTGGGCTTTTGGGAGTTGGAATCCCAAACACCTGAAGGGTCACAGGTTGTGCACCACTGGTCTAGAAATTTCAAAATCTACTCCTGTAACATCAAAACGGAGCCCCCGGTGGCGCAGTGGGTTAAACCGCTGAGCTGCTGAGCTTGTTGACCGAAAGGTGGCAGGTTCGAATCCAGGGAGCGGTGTGAGCTTCCACTGTCAGCCCCAGCTTCTGCCAACCTAGCAGTTTGAAAACATGCAAATGTGAGTAGATCAATAGGTACTGCTCCGATGGGAATGTAACGGTGGTCCATGCAGTCATGCCAGCCACATGCCCTTGGAGGTGTCTATGGACAACACGGGCTCTTCGGCTTAGAAATGGAGATGAGCACCACACCCTAGAGTCGGACACGACTGGACTTAATGTCAGGGGAAAACTTTTACATTTACCTAACATCAAACCATCAACACAGGCTAAAATACTGTTTGCCTTCTTATCTTCAGCATCACGCTCTGGCTCAGGTTCAACTTATCTATTCCTCTGCTCATTAAAAGTATCTTAGCGTCTTTTCTGTTCCTCCCTTGCAACATACAAGGTCATTCCCACGCATTAATTTGGCCAAAGAGAAGCTGGTTATCTCTGGTCGTGACAGCCTTCGTGCAAAGCAAAACTTAGATCTCTGTGTGTCTGTGTTCCTAAATGCCAGCAAAATGGCTAAGGAGGTTGCTCTCAGCTGAGTAAAGTGTTTGCCATCCTATACCTATCATTTTCTCTATTTAATTTCATTGTGCTGTATTCATTTCAGCCCAGTTTTCTGGAGGATTGGTTGAAATTGTGTCCCTCGATTCAGGAATGAGTTCCCTGACACACACACACACACATTGGAAGAAGAGCAGCCTTGAGGATTTCTTAGTTGAAGGAAAGAGTGGGCTTTATGGTCCTACGAGTTGTGGCCCAATCAGAGCAAGAAGCAAGGCCGGGGAAGCAATCACAGCCTCTCCTTACAGTGGCTCCAGAGGCGCTGACCAATGGCTGCAGGCAAAGCACAGGCGAGGGAGGAGCTGCCTCAGTCATCCCTTCCCAGGTACAAGGGAGAATCAAGAATGCCACTGGGATAAATAAGGCATTGATTCAGGTCATTATTATGGGCTGCGTGAGCCTGTTTATTCTGGAGTCAACCTTGAGAAACCCAGATGCAGAGTGCAGGTTCTCTCTAAGGCGGGCATGGGGAAACTTGGGCCCTCCCTCCAGGTGTTTTGGACTTCAACTCCCACAATTCCTAGCGGCCTCAGGCCCCTTCCTTTTCTCAGTTTCTCAAGTCGCTCCTGATATTAACAAAATTAAATAAACGTAAACATAATCATAATATGTATTGTCGAAGGCTCTCGTGGCCAGAATCACTGGGTTGTTGTGAGTTTTCTGGGCTGTATGGCCATGTTCCTGAAGCATTCTCTCCTCCCAACAAAGGATTCCCCCAGGTAGTTAGAAACCAAAGCTTGAAACTGCTAGGCCATTAAATGCTAATCAGGATGGCCAATTGCAACTTTCACACCTACCTCAAGCAGACAAAGAGTTCTTTCTCCCACCCTGGATATTATTCCACAGATATATAAACCCAACTTTCCTAGTTTCCAACAGACTCACAACCTCTGAAGATGCCTGCCGTAGATGGAGGCGAAACGTCAGGAGAAAATGTTTCTGGAACATGGCCAGACAGCCCAGAAAACTCACAACAGCCCAATAATCATAGGAACCTTAACCACAAGATGTTGAATTGGGATGACTTGATTGTGAAGACAAAGTTCTAGGGAACTCATTCCTGAATCGATATGCATAGGGCATCCAGGGTGTATCTATGTTGTAGGATTAACCAAGTTTGACATCATTTTGATGGGCATGGCTCAATGCTATGGGATCATGGGAGCTGTGGTTTTGCAAAGTCTTTTGCCAAACTACAACCCCCAGATTCCACAACATTGAGGTATTGCAGTCAGGGTGATCTCAAGGCGCATTAAATGTACAGAGTAGGTGCACCCCTGAGCATGACGTGGCATTGGATTGTGCAGTCTCAGGTAGATTAGTTCGACTGACCGCCTTCAGATCAGCTTTTGATTATTGCCAAATCACTGTAAATACTTCTTCACACTAGAGAATGAATCCACTTTAAATCCGGTTTCTGCCGCCTGCACAATTCTGGGGTTTGTAGTTTAGGGAGGCTCTTAAAGGCTCCTCCCTAAACTACAAACCCCAGAATTCTGCAGGAGGCAGCAACCGGATTTAAAGTGGATTCATTCTCTAGTATGATGAGGTCGTAAGGCAGGGTTTTTGTTTTGTTTTTTGCATTCATGCGTGCTTTCTATAGACGTCCAACAGAGATGCCGTGCTTTCTTGACGGTCTGCAGCATCGCCCGCCCTCTCTCCTTCCTAGTCAACGTGCTCGGGGCTCGTGAGCAGCCTTAGCCTTCCCTTTGCGAGGGTCCTCCTCACTCACCCACGGGAGTCCTGACTGCAGCCACGAACACGACTGCCTCCCCGGCGGCGGCGGCGGCGGCGGCGGCGGCGCTCATCCTGGCTCCTGTGGCAGCGAGCAAGCTGTTCCTGCAGAGCAAGCTCCGTTCTATCTGTAAACCAGGGCCGCGCGTTCCCATTGGCTGGCCGACACGCCTCCCGCCCGCCCCCAGCGCTTACGTCATGAAGGGCTTGCCTGGAGGGGGGAGAGAGGAGAGGATGTCACGTGGCAGAGGGGAAGGAGGAGAGCAGCACGCATTGCTCTCATTATTTAATTCCAAAGCCCAGCTTACCTGTCCTAACGTGTCTCCCTCTATAGAAGCATAGACAGGGCTGTGGCGCGGCTAGTTAGTAACCAGCTGCATTTAATCACTACTGACCCAGAGGTCATGAGGTCGAAGCCAGTCTCGGTCAGAGTGAACTCCTGACAATTAATAGTCTAGCTTGCTGTTGACCTATTTATTTATTTACGACATTTATATGCCGCCCTTCTCACCCGGAAGGAGACTCAGAGATGCTTACAAGATATACATACATACATATATATACTTACTTACTTAGGCGATCCCTCGTTGGACGAGTAAGATGGTCTTCCATTATGCGTTTCCCTGTGGGTTCGTAGGTGGCTGTGGAGCCCTATTCTTGACCCGCATCTTCTCCCACAGTGAAGGCATTGGTTTCCAGGTGGAAGGCGGTCCCGGTCGGGGTTGGCTTGACGCGCCTTCATCCTGGCACGTTTCTCTCTTTCACCCTCCACTCGTGCCTCCTCGAATTCTGCAGCACTGCTGGTCACAGCTGACCTCCAGCTGGAGCGCTCAAGGGCCAGGGCTTCCCAGTTCTCATTGTCTATGCCAGAGATGTTAAGGTTGGCTTTGAGCCTGTCTTCCCAAGAGATTTGCAGGATTTTCCGGAGGCAGCGCTGATGGAATCATTCCAGGAGTTGCATGTGACGTCTGTAGACTGTCCACGTTTCGCAGGCATATAGCAGGGTTGGGAGGACAATAGCTTTATAGACAAGCACCTTGGTATCCCTACGGATGTCCCGGTCCTCTCTGCTTCATTCAGGAAAATGCTGCACTCGCAGAGCTCAGGCGGTGTTGTATTTCGGTGTCTGTACATATATATATACACACACACACACAATACATTATATTATTAGCATAGTACAATATCAGTATTATATATTACTATATTGTACTATACCAGTGATTCTCAACCTGTGGGTCCTCAGACGTTTTGGCCTTCAACTCCCAATAGTTTGTAAACTGACTGGGATTTCTGGGAGTTGTAGGCCAGAACACCTGGGGACGCACAGGTTGAGAACCACTGTACTATACCATTATATTGTAATATTGCTAGTAATATTACATGTAATATAAAATATATAATTATAAAATCATTATTAGTAGTATTATATTGTAATACATTATAATATTATAAATATATGTATATACAATATATTATATTACATTATATTATATTTAGAATAGCAAGGAGACAAGGGTGGAACTGTCCCCCCCCCCCCCGGTCTTCACTCTGGCCCAGAGCAGCAGTTGGTGCTTGGGGGAGGGGTCCCCAACAGGATGGAACTGTCCCCTGCCCACCCTCCCTTCAATCCGAAAGACAGTTGCATATGTCAAGTAGGAAATTTAGGTACCGTTTTATGCGGGGAGGCTAATTTAACTAATTTACAACACCATAAAACCTTCCAGTAGTATGTGCAGGAATGAGGAAGTACTCCATAAAGGATTCAGTGTCACAAGTGGATGGTGAGGCGGCAGCTCCCTGCTGTGGCCAGAATCGAGCATACCCTCATGAAGCCAGAAAGCTGGAATGTAAAATTGCTTCTGTGTCTGTCTATATAGCTTGTGTGCCTAAATGGCACTGAAAGTTTGTCACGTATGTGTGCATACGGGACTCTGGGGTATATGGCCACACAATAAACAGCTTTTTTGCAGTTTTAAGATCCAACTTCCATGGTGTCCTTCCAAGCCCTCTCCAGTGGAAAGGGGACTCCTGCATTTCGGATTTGGATTTAAGGAGTATTTTGGATCTCTGCCCCTTCATCCCCACTATGCAGAAAAGAAATATTAGGAGGCTGCCATATATAATTTTGGTAGATGAACCCCCTACAGTGTGCCTGCTGTCATTGATCCGCAGTAGACACTGGGGTTGAGCTGGCTTCTGTCTTTATTACAGTGTTCAGTCTTCACGTGTCGAATGCTGAAAAGGTATCCTTGGGATTATAAAGCTAGCATAGCCATTCATGATTCTGGCATTGGAAAGAGTATTCGGAGTGCCACAGTCTAAAATGGAAACTCTCTCAAGTTAAATTGCTGGGCATGTTTGGTCTGCAGAAGAGAATGTTGAGAAAAGACGTTATTGCCATGTTTAAATAAGTGAAAGGATGTCATAAAGAAGAGAGAGCTGGCTTGTTTTCTGCTGTCTTGGAAACTAGGACTAGGAGCAGGAAATGACAGGAAAGGAGATTCCACTTGAACATAAGGAAGAACTTCCTGACTGTGAGAGATGTTCAACTGCTTTGGGAGACAGTGGTCGGGCATCTGGACAGTGTGGCCGGTCCAGTGGAGTTGATGGCGGAGGACTGTCACTTCAATGCTAGTGGTCTTTGCTTCTTCCAGCACACTGACATTTGTCCACTTGTCTTCCAAAGAGATTTGCAGGATTTTTCGGAGGCAATGCTAATGGAATTGTTCCAGGAGTTGCATGTGACATCTGTAGATAGTCCATGTCTCACAGGCGTATAGCAGGGTTGGGAGGACAATAGCTTTATAAACAAGCCCCTTGGTATCCCTACGGATTTATTTATTATTTATTTATTTATTTACTGCACTTGTAGACCGCCGTTCTCAGCCCTAGGGCGACTCACGGCGGTGTACAACATATAAAATCAGGAACAATTACAACATAAGTAATATCACAACTACAATAAACAACATCACTATCCATAATACAATTACACTAAATCATTCGCGACGTCTCATCATTGAATCACAATCCAAGTCTCGTTATCCATGTTCCGTTCCAGTCGTCATTGCCAATTGTTACAGCACTTACTCAAACGCCTTCTCAAACAACCACGTCTTTAATCTCTTGCGGAATGTCATAAGAGAGGGCGCCAATCTGATGTCCACAGGGAGGGTGTTCCACAGCCGGGGGGCCACCACCGAGAAGGCCCTGTCCCTCGTCCCCGCCAGGCGTGCCTGTGAGGCAGGTGGGATCGAGAGAAGGGCCTCCCCAGACGATCTCAAAGTCCTCGTGGGCTCATAGGCCGAGATGCGGTCAGACAGGTATTTTGGGCCGGAACCGTTTAGGGCTTTGTAGGCCAACACCAGCACCTTGAATTGGGCCCGGTAGCAGATCGGCAGCCAGTGGAGCTGGAACAACAAGGGCGTTGTGTGCTCCCTGCGTCCCGCTCCTGTTAGTAACATGGCTGCCGCACGCTGGACTAGCTGAAGCTTCCGGGCCGTCTTCAAGGGCAGCCCCACGTAGAGAGCGTTGCAGTAGTCAAGGCGGGATGTGACCAGAGCGTGTACTACCGTGGCCAAGTCAGACTTCCCAAGATACGGGCGCAGCTGGCGCACGAGCCTGAGCTGTGCAAATGCTCCCCTGGTCACCGCTGCTGGTCCTCAAACACTCTAGGCTTCATTCGGAAAAATGCTGCACTCGCAGAGCTCAGACAGTGTTGTATTTCAGTATCAATGTTGACTTTTGTGGAGAGGTAGCTGCCAAGGTAGCGGAAATGGTCAACATTTTCTAATGTTATGCCATTAAGCTGTATTTCTGGCATTGGAGAGGGATTGGCCAGTAACTGCTGGAAGAGCACTTTGGTTTTCTCGATGTTCAATGACAGGCCAAGCTTCTCGTATGCTTCTGCGAAGGTGTTTAGAGTGGCTTGTAGATCTTCTTCTGAATGCGCAGATGACGTTGTCATCAGCATACTGGAGTTCTATAACAGATGTTGTAACCTTGGTTTTGGCTTTCAGGCTGCTGAGGTATTAGATTAGAATAGTTTTGATTAGGAAATTTGTGTGGGTAATCATGCTGTCACTTTCTCTTCTTTCTTTCAATGTTGATTAAATGCAACGGCAACATGTTAGGACAGGCTTGCCTCAACAGTACTTTCTGTTGTGAAATTTAGTTTTCTGAGCAAACAGGCTTTTGACAAGCTACTGTTTCTCTCCTTGAGCTCTATTTCTTCAGTCTGAGATAATTCCCACATTATTGACCACAGATAATTAAAAAATTACTCATAAATGCATAGTAGTCATGATAAACTTACATCGCTTCTGTAGATTATGATTAACTGCCAAATTAAGGTGAAGTGCTTGTGTCATCAAGTGAAACATTTAGAGCAGTTAGTAAATCTACAACCAGGAATACTTCTGAACTTTGTTGCTTATTCATTCAGTTGCTTCCAACTCTTCGTTACTTCATGGGTCAGCTGTTGCCACCTGCAGCTCCCTCAAGGTCAAGCCAGTCACTTCAAGGATACTCTCCATCCACCTTACCCTTGGTTGGCCCCTCTTCCTCTTTCCTTCCATTTTCCCCAGAGTCATTCTCTTCTCCAAGCTTTCCTGTCTTCTCGTTATGTGCCCAAAGTCCTTCATCTTTGCCTCTAATATCCTTCCCTCCAGTGAGCAGCAGGACATTATTTCCTGGAATATGGACTGGTTTGATCTTGCTGTCCAAGGCACTCTCAGCATTTTCCTCCAACACCACAGTTCAAAAGCATCTATCTTCCTTCACTCAGCTTTCCTTGTGGTCCAGCTCTTGCACCCATAGGTTACTACGCGGAATACCACTGCTTTAACTATGTGGATCTTCATTGCCAATGTGATGTCAAGATTGTTCATTGCTGTCCTCCCAATAAGTAAACATCTCCTGATTTCCTGGCTGCAGTCTGCAGTAATCTTCACTCCTAGAAATACAAAGTCTGTCACTGCCTCCATGTTTTCTCTATTTGCTTGTTATCAATCAGCCATAATATTGGTTTTGTTTTGTTTTTTGTTTAACTGCAACCCAACTTTTACACTTTGTTCTTTCACCTTGGTTATAAGCAAAATGTTAAAGCAATGTGAACAAAATGTTAATACCAAGAAACCACCACTTTGTGAGCACTACA